ACAAGTCACGTGATAAAAGGGTGAGATTTTTCTCAGCGCCTTTGTGGAACCGTTAGTTGTTGTGCTACAACAAGTGGCCCAAACTGGTGAATGCCTGAGATGTCTTCGGTGGCAATGTCTCTGAGGTAGTGGTTGGCAAACACAGTGTCCGATTTCCAAAAGCAGCCCTCCATTATTGTTGTAATTGAGCAGTTTCCATGCAGAGCAAGTGTAGACGCCAGGGCTCTGACTTCGTGGGGATTGGAGGGTCGTGGAAGCTCAAGTCCTGCTACCTTGTAGGCCCTTAGTATAACGGCTCTCATCCATATCGACATCGTTGTCTGTGAGACTTCCGTGGGCGTCTCAGTGGATAAGGGGATGAATAGGCGCTTGAATTTTCGTCTCCCTCTGTGAGTCATGTCTTGAGCTGAGGTGAGTAGACCGAGCATGCTTTGCCAAGCACGTAGTGTCAATGGAGAGAGCATTGCTTGAGATATCATATGTTGTATCTTGACCCAACAATCCTCTGGGACGACCGTGTGATTCTGTGGTGTGATGAGCCATATTCCCAGAAATTGAAGATCCTGTTTGGTTCCAACTCCGATTAGGAGATTACCAGCCATCTACTGCAATCATGTCCTACGTTGTAGGTAAGTGGATCTAGGAACCCTTGCCATGTCCGTCATGGAAGCGGAGAGATGATCGATTCTGGAATCATGGCTTGAAGCTTGTCTCATCAATCTTCCGGTAATATGTAATGAAGATGTTGTCACCAGAATCCGAACAATGTGCAGCGATGATGCATAATACGTCGTCTCTAGATCAGCAACAATCTATAAAGTTCTGGGACTGCCATCGATGTGAAGTCTATTTATAGTCGACTGGCTGCCGCGAGCAGAAACCATCTAACGCTTGTCGCTGCAAGTCCCCAGATGACCAATATTAAATCTGCTGACAGGGGAAGTCCTCTATGACCCGTGAAGATAGTCAAACTACGCTGTACCCTGCTAACTGAGTGTAAATGGAGCCTTTCCAACATTGAAAGAGTTGTTTACAACTGTAGACGACTTCCTGGCACGTGACTATGACCGAGTTCTGCGCAGGGCGTTGTCTCTCATGGACCAATCAGATTTCAGATGTGACGTCACCGGTGTTGCAGGTCCTCGTAGAATCTTGTGCAGTCGTTGATTCTTCATCAACACTCGGCCTTGTCCGTAACCTCTCTGTTCGGCTTGTGCCGGAGTTACAAGAGTGAACACGTGTCTAGATGGCTGAGTGCAAGCGAGCGAAAACTTCGCCGCGTAGTACCGAAGTAAGCAGACTGTTCCTTGTCTGTTGTGACTGTATTCTTCAACTTTATAATCTTTACTGCAGTCATCATCTTATACAAATGTTCTGTAAAGTTGACCGTAACCGATGTCTCGCTGAGGAACTGCGACAAAGCTGTTAACTGTCCCCTTGATATCTTGTAAGCCCATGTGATGAAAATTCATCTTCAGTGTTTCATCGGATGTTATCTGACATCGTTAGTTCAGGTGTGCGTCTCTTCCTTCAGCCACGCGTTGATCCAACATAGCCCACATCTAGTTGTAGTGTCCAGTTGCGTTATCTTCTTATCTTCCATCTTGAAGATCTATTACTGGATTCACTGATGATCTTGTAATTTCAAACCCTGATGTATCATGAAGGGCTCCATATGATGAAGGGGATATCTGCTATCCTTAAACGGCGGGACATGCTGACTCTGATTATAATCCTCCCCGTGAGTGCCTGCGCGCAGGTTGTTGAAGATCCAAGTTGGAAGATCCGTATCTGCGCAGTCTCTAGAATCCTGGAGAACGACTGGATCTACTTCTGTGTTAGAATGCTTCCTGCTGAGACGCTGAAATTGCGTGGAGGCTCCATCGTGGACTGCTAACGCTAAGCTGGTGTTCATTGAATCCTCCAGGCTTCTAACTGCTGATACTTCTGACGGTAAAGATCTTCGCGAACGTTACCGTTCGTGCATCCGAGAGAGCTTGCATGGCTAATATTCCTTCCGCAGGGTGACCATCATCGGAGGGGTCCTCTGTGAGATGTGGAGTGCCTGTGCGCAGGTTCCCGATGTGTGTCTAAGTCCGACGGTGATGATGATCCGTATCTATGATGTCTGTAGGGTTCGGGAGAACGCTTTGATCTGCCTCTATGTGGAGAATTCTTAGCGGAACCTTCAGGGACGTCTAAGGCTCAGCTGGTAGCGTTGTCCAGGCTCCTAACTTCAGGCGGGGAAGATCGTCGGATGCGTGAGCCTTCACGCAGGCTTCACTCTTCTTCCAAGTGCGTTGGAGAGGCTGCTGTATCACACAGGCTTGTAGTCATCGTAGTGGTCTTCGTAGCAGCTTTCTCCTGCGCGAAGCAACGTTCCATCATCGACATCATATGGTCTGTAAACTGTTGCATAAACAGCCCCAGGTTGAAGTTCTGCGATGTCTGTTGAGACTGCTGCAGGGTTGATGATGCTTCTGAGAACGTTGAGGCCTCTTCTAAGGTATGCTGCATTTGTGAAAAGTTGACGCTCCTGTTATCTCTGGTACCCGACGTCTACGTTTATAGAAGGTCTTCTGTCAATGTCTGCGCTGATATAGTTGTCGATGTAGCTGTTGAAGCAGGCTTCGTCTTCTTGCTGATGACTGTGGCTTGAGGTATGATGATGGGGGGATCATCATACACGTCTGCTTCTTCCAGAGGTACAATATCGGTAGTGGAGGATCTCGTCTTCTGCGTAGAGCTGTGAAGAGACTTCGACTAAGTCTTAGGAGCTGTAGACTTCTTCTTCTGCACTGAAGAAGATCTTGTCTTCTTCATCTGCGATGAGGACAGCTCCATTGACGACAATCTTTACTTATTCGAGAAGGAGTTCATCACTGGAACAGCGACCTGTCCTCGTAAACCGCTCGGCAATTCACTGGATTTACCAGACATGACTTGTGAATACCTTCTTACCCAGTCCTTTGCACGTCTATGAAGAGAAAAAAGGTAGTTATTAAATTCAAAAGTAGTTACTTTTTGACAATGATAGCTGGAAGGACATAATATATGCGGGTCAGCCACAGACAGCCGGTACCTACAACAAATATAAGTTTTCATCAATTGTAAACCAGATGAAAAACATGGCAAACAACGTATAATTTAGACATAATATCAAAACATTTGATAATATACAATCCAAAAACCATATACAGCTGCCATTTAGATGTAAAAGGTCCAAAATAGAAAAGGATAAGTGCCGTATAGGGACCCAGGTGCTCTCACAACCGTCCTCAAGGGCGAAGCAGGAGAGAGTGACCAAAAAGGGTGCCAAAGGAGGCAAGGGAGACTACTCGTGGGTGAGTGATGATTTTACGTTCGTTTTTTAGAAGGGAACTTCAACAGATTTCAAGTGTTCCACTATCATTCGCAAGAACAAGGAGACAACCATTTAGCATGAGTCAGGATAAGGAAAAATATGACAATAACTTAAACAAATGTCATCTGATACAATACAATAATCTTGAAACTAGTTGTCGGGCATGTACTGTATGTGAGGAAGTAAGAGGACAAGATTTAGTGGTACAAAGTACCAGTAAGGTCAATACACTTTTAACTTTGTATTGAAATTACCTGTGACAAAATGCTGGGTTTCCTACCTGCACCAGTGACCATAAGAACTATGTCTACCCAGCAGCCATTCCAGCAAACATTACATAAAATGAATTTTGGGAAGCCCATAAAAAGTCAAACGTTTTGGAAAAAAATGAAGGTTCCAGATATAGGTTATCACTTGCCTACAAGTGGCATGATGTGCAATGTCTTAAGTCAAGTTCAAGAATATTGCTTGTGTAATGACGTGCATGCATGCGTGTGTGTGGCTGATTGTACAAGTCCAGACTTATGCCTGTGTTTAGTGCTCTCCTACTGAGATACCATGCCAAAGTTTAACTTGTTACCCCAGGCTAGCCAGGCAGGGTAACTTGATTGAACCACTTTTAATGTCTTAAAACAACATATTCATTACGAAGTACCTGCCACCATTGTCAATGTACAAACAGTAGTACTGTACAAACTACAGTGGAAGCCCTCTAAACCGGCAGCCCTTCAATCCGGCATGCTCTCAATATCGGCACTAGAATTTGGTTCTGACAGAAGCTAGTTAATTTATGATCATTTATACGCCCTCTAATCCGGCGTCAGTCTATTCCGTATTTCGGCACAACAAAGACCGTCCAATTGACTGTTTGTAAAGTAATTAACACTCTCTAAACCGGCATCTGGTATCTCGGCTCTCCTGTTGATTGGCTGATGGCTGAACGTGTATTAACAACACAGTTGATTACCATCAGCATTAACCTCATTTATGTTGCCTGATACAAACTTTAGCATGGTTGTTTATTGTGAATACTCTTTCGTGGGGGGTCACGAAATGTTTTCCACATGACATCCTTTCTATTCTATGGAAACTAATGTCTGTGTGTTCTATTGACTTATTCTGGTATGTCAAGTTTTCAAGTTCATAGTCTACTGACAGTATGCAAATGATAACTATTGATGGCAACAATGGTATTTTAGATAAGTCATTGTTTTATTTGACCATATGGTTACCGTATGTTTTCCTTTTAGTTTAAAGATCCGCTGAATTGAAAAACCACATCTGAGACCATAGTCCCAACAACAAACTTATCATAATGTAACACAGTAAAATATAACAGTAAAATATAAAAGTATTATAATAACAGTAAATGTGAAATAATAAAATATAATAGTAAATGTAAAGTAGTAAAATACAATAGTAAATGTAAAATAGGAAAAATATAATAGTAAATGTAGAATAGTAAATGTAAAATAGTAAAATATAATAGTAAATGTAGAATAGTAAATGTAAGACAGTGATGTCCATGATGATGATGTAACAACATCATGCCAATACAGGTGGTCACATGACTCGGTACATTACTCCAGAAGACAATAACCATGAAGTATGGGAGATCAGCAGCACCACCACCTACCAGATTCCAGCACCGAGTCAACAGTTCCACCTCCCACATCACCAGACTTGGGGCCTCCTTTACTGGAGGACATACTGAAAGCAAACAGCCATGGTGTCATACAATGCTGTATACTACAGTAAAACACTTCACAGACACTGTCCTCGATGGTCTCCACACTGAACACAGCTCCACACTGTTCATGGCAGCTGCTCGAGTGAGTTTAGTTTTACACCGCTTTTAGCATTATTCCAGCAATGGGCTTCACACATTGTACCCATGTGGGGAATCGAACCCGGGTCTTTGGCGTGATGAGTGAACACTTTAACCACAAAGCTACCCCACCGCTCCTGGAAGCTCGAAGCAAGTCACACGATCGGTGTGCAATCAAGTTACATTATCAGCTCCCTGGGGAGTGTACAAGCCATGTTCTTCCAAGGTTAGCCCTCACATTACAACCTGACCCTACCATTATATGTCAACAATCAGTCTGGACCTGTGTGTCATAAGGGACTGCCCACCAAATCAGTTTACATTCCATCTCTTCATGAAGCCTGGGTTTAATACTGACATGAAAGGTGGTTTACCTACCTGCTGACCTGCTCCTTGCCAGAACCACAACAACACTGGTACTCTCTCAGTCGGACATGGTAGTCTCCGCAGCTGTGGGGGCAACCACACCAACACCTCAGACATGAACATCGAAACAAGACAACCACAAATCACAAAACTCTCAAGATTTCATCTTCAATCAGAGGACAGAGGCTGATGATGAATTCATCTTAGGCCTAATGTTTGCCCTCCTATCTAAAATGTCTTCATCAATGTGGCTTGCAAACCATTCACAGATATCTTGAAACCTTGCAGAAAACAGTGATCCCCCTTGCACTACAATCAGCTATGTTCTGTCAAGTTCCCAATACTGCATTCACAGCTATGTTTTCACATTAGGAAGAAGTTTGCTATTTCCAAGTGGTCACATGAAATTTTCTAAAAGTAGCCTTTCAGTGAGTGAGTGAGTGAGTTTTCATTTTACGCCGCTTTTATAGCAATATTCCAGCAATATCACGGTGGGGGACACCAGAAATGGGCTTCACAAGTAGCCTTTCAGTTACCGGTTGCAAGAAAAAGGAAACCTACAGAAGTGTGCATATGTCTGAAGCAAGTATTTGAGTGTCAAGGAATGTTGCCTATAGACCAACCTTAAAGCATATGCTATGACTGAGCTGGGTTCATAGTCATACACCACGACTGGGATCTTCTCACAGGGCGGCAGCAGGTAGTGTTCCGCCGGGTCGCTGTAGGTACACACAGGATATTTAGATCAGGGCAAAGTAACATGTAGCACTACTTCATCTGTGCTGTATGTTTGATTCATGGTGTATACACCTGACACTATCCACTCTTGCTGCCAGGGTGAGGTCATTAAGGGAAGCTGCACCTATCATTTATGTCTCACTCCTACACAGGATCCAGGTCTTGCTTGTGTACCTTTTGTATCTGAATGATATTCACATGACTCAGTGGCATTACAGTTTGACTACAGAGGTTAAGTCTATTATATTCAAATTGTCTTCCTATCATGTGGCATAACTTACAATGGCATGGTGATAGGGGTGAAGCCGGGGGCTGACCAGAAGCCGGACATCAGTGTCCTCCTGACCATTCCCTTCTTGTCCTGCCGTCCGTCCACACTGTCTTCTGGCAAGAGCAACACATTGATGGATCTCATTAAAAACAGTCAGTACAACCACACAGCTGACTCCCAACACAAGGAGTACACAGATAAACACAGCTGGACGCCATCAGCTGTCAACAGCACTGCAATCTACTCGCTCTACACATATGATTTCTTAAAGTAATGTGTTAACATCTACTGTGTTCCACTGTAAACTATGTAATGGTTAAGTCATCCATATGGTATATCAACAAAAACTGAGCATTGAAAATTACTTTGACATAGCTGTCAACAATATATTTATACATTTTGTTATCTTACATCTTAAGGGAATGTTACTACTTTACTGTAAGTGAAAGGTTTGTGTCCAGTTGAGTACATTATGAGGGAGATACAACTGTGCATGAATATGTGCTGTACACAGACAAGCTACCATTATGAGGGAGATACAAGTGTGCATGAATATGTGCTGTACACAGACAAGCTACCATTATGAGGGAGATACAAGTGTGCATGAATACGTGCTGTACACAGACAAGTTACCATTATGAGGGAGATACAAGAGTGCATGAATACGCATGTACACAGACAAGCTACCATTATGAGGGAGATACAAGTGTGCATGAATACGTGCTGTACACAGACAAGCTACCATTATGAGGGAGATACAAGTGTGCATGAATACGTGCTGTACACAGACAAGCTACCATTATGAGGGAGATACAAGAGTGCATGAATACGTGCTGTACACAGACAAGCTACCATTATGAGGGAGATACAAGTGTGCATGAATACGTGCTGTACACAGACAAGCTACCATTATGAGGGAGATACAAGTGTGCATGAATACGTGCTGTACACAGACAAGCTACCATTATGAGGGAGATACAAGTGTGCATGAATACGTGCTGTACACAGACAAGCTACCATTATGAGGGAGATACAAGTGTGCATGAATACGTGCTGTACACAGACAAGCTACCATTATGAGGGAGATACAAGTGTGCATGAATACGTGCTGTACACAGACAAGCTACCTTCTCTCATGGCCTCCAGGTTGTTGGAGGAACCTCCTCGCTCCAGCAGCTGGGGGGACAGGGAGGATGGACCTGCAGCACAACAACGGCGAAATGGTCCACGTCAAGATAATCTCCAGTCTTAGCAAGTTGAACAGATGACTGAAGATCATAATGATTTGTCAGCACATGGCCTCTATGGAGACTCCAGGGCAGAATGAGGTCCTAAACACTGATGTTTGTCATGAGGGTAACAATGATCAGTCAGTTACAACACCTGGTGGAGTATGTACCACAGGTAGGCCATGAACACAGGTCCCGGCTGTCTTTTACAGGGGAGACTCTTTACTGCTGGTGAGTATTGGTTTTTATTCACTACAAGGCATGGGCAAAATATCAGGCTTCATATTTTTCATACGATGCCCTAGGGCAAAATATCACTTTGTCATGGTGACGTGATGTCATGAACAATGCTATGACGTCACATTTCTTCTATGATGTTGCGTTTTTCATGCAGCGGCGACGGCAGGTAGCCAGCCTATGTTTGAAAGTAGATTTGGGGTTTATTTTCCTCAATTTGACGTCTTCGGTAATAAATTAAACATTATTTTCATGCCCATATCATACTATGTTTACGACTAGGGTTACGCAATATACATTCTATTGTGGGCGTGAGGCTCCTGTATATAGAAGAAACAGAGAGCGCGAGCCTGCGAGCGATCCAATAAAAATACGAATTTAAGGTAAAAAATAAGGTTAAAATCGAATTCCTCACCTTACTTCCAGTTTAGGAAACCTAAACTGGGGATTTTAACAGCGTTCACTGACGTAAACAGAGTAAAAAGTAATCGTGTGTTGAAATTTTATTCAAATGCATGCTGGGAAAAGGAACTCTACAGTGTGGGAACACTCTGATGGTAAGTGTTTTTTGATTGGTAAGGTAAGGTAGGTAAGGCTTTTAAATAAAGGGGGGTACCCCCTTTACCCCCCCTATCTTACCTTTTTCAGCTTTAATATTGTTTAATATTTAATATTTAATATTGAACGCTGCTTCAACACAGCCTTCATTCATGGCGTGCCGTTGCTAAGGAAACAAAACGGAAGTGCGCAAAAATAAATGCTCAATCAAAATAAAAATGGCGGATAGGTATCCAGTATTCTGTAATCTTGCCAACAATAGTAATAATATAATATATCATAAAGTAAAGATAAATTTTGTAATATTAAATTATCTTTAATAATTTGGAATTAGGGAATTGTGTTGGGTCAAACATGATTACTTTTACCAGTGGTTGTTTATATTTTAGTACTCATGTCACAGAGATACATATTGATACAAACTATTTCCTTTAATTTGCTGTTAAGCTAAAGGGTCTACTACATACATAACAATCAGGTTGATGTTTCACCCTGAATTGTTTGGTATTGAACTGAAAGAAATCATATATTTCTTGCTCTTATTCCTTAAATATATTTCCGGATTTAGTTTCCCATTAACACAATATTCGCCATCTCCAATGGCAGTTTTTATCTATTTTTCTGGTTGTTATGTGTGAAGATGAAGATGACCTGTAAATTGTTAATGGAACTTTACGTCAACATGAACATCTTCTCAATGTGTTCACATGAATAGCTATGTCTTGTTTTCGTTTCTGACTTTTTCAAGACGAAAATAAACATGAAAACAAGGTTGGGGAAGAAATAGCCTAGCCAGTTGAGAATCTCCCCATTTTGATATAAGAACAAGGGTGGGAAAGAAGTAGCCTTTAAATTTGATTCAAAGGGTGGCGAAAGTTTGGCCTAGGACAAACTTTTCCCGGGGAAGATTAAAGCCTAGTGGGGGGAAGTTTGGCCTAGGCTTTATAAATCAAGCATTAACTTGATTATAAGTAGTTTTATTGTTAAAAAACTTCTTGCAATATATTGCAATACATATCGCAATATGTAATTTTTAGAATAAAATTGATATTTTATACTTATCCTGACTCATGCTCTTTTGCTTGTCTTCTTCTTCTTGCGAACATAGTGGAAACACTTGTATCTCCTTAATTGAAGCTCCCTTCAATGTAAAATCACTAATCAGTACTCACCACGAGTTGCTCCCCTTTGATCCCTTTTGGCGGGAAAGGTGTCGCCACCTCATACCTCGTGCTTCACTCTCTCCTGATTTTGCGAGCCCAACCCTTGAATTTACAGGGAAATCCAAAGTGTTATGTGGGGAGGATGGGAGGGCTGACCTCATGAGTCAGGATAAGTATAAAATATCAATTTTATTCTAAAAATTACATATTTTTCCTTATCCTGACTCATGCTCTTTTGCTTGTAGAATCCTACGGAACGGAGGAGGGAGTAACAGAATACTTTGGATTTATAATTAGTGATTTTGTATAAATATAACTGTAATAACTGGTATGGGAACTTCATGAAGGCATAGACTTAGGATATTTCCTGTATATAACCATAGGTTTTATAATGCCATAATTGTGTATTACATTGATATATATTGAAAAACCCCATTACATAAATTATATATACATAAGAGACTCTGATAGAGTCACTGTACAACTAAATATAATGTCCATATATACTTAGGGGTGAAAGACCTAAGCTGAATATATATACATAGCTCTAGAACTCCTCAGAGTTATAAGCTAACTAAATTATGTATATAATACATATTAACTTTGTGATTGTAATATTTTAACGCCTACGAGGGACTGTCAGCTGTTGAGCGAGGACCAAAGGGCCGAAATGGTGAATGCCAGAGACATCTTCTGTGGTGATATCTCTCAAGTAGTGATTCGCAAACACCATGTTCGATTTCCAAAAGCATCCTTCCATAATAGTGGTCAATGAACAGTTACCGTGCAGGGCGAGGGTGGAAGCCAGTGCCCTAATCTCATCGCGATTTGATGCTGTTGGTGGGTCCAAGCCTGCTGCCTTGTATGCCTGGCATGACAGTCCTTATCCAAATAGATATGGTAGTACGCCGAGACTTCTGTTTGATTCGTTGGCGATAAGGGGATGAATAATCTTTTGAGAAATCTTAAGCCTTGTTTTGGATCGTCAGAGGTAAACTTTGAGAGCTCTGACTGGACACAGTGACAAGTCTTGTGTATCTTGTGATCCGAGAATGGAGGATAGCGCTGGTACATGGAATAACCTGTCTGGTTGACCTGGTAGTTAATTTTTAGCGATGAAATCCCATCTTAATCCGAGGTGCTCTATGTTTTGATTGTCATCAAACTGTATCCTTTCGTAATCCAGAGCGTGAATTTCAGATATTCTTGCTGCCGTGGCTAGAGATAACAGAAATAGTGTTTTCTGTGAGAGAAATTCAAAGTTTGTCGATTCCAAGGGCTCATAAGCCTCACTTGTGAGGTGTTGTAACACTATATTCAGATCCCAAGCTGGGACGTGGAACTTCCGCTTTTGGTCCTCCAATCGGAAAGCACGTAGTAAGGCCAGTAACTCTGGAGATTTTGTCAGCTTGACACCCGTTCTCATAGTAATCACAGAGCTAAGCGTGGCAAGATATGTTGATATCGTCGAACCTCTTAAATGTTTGTTTTGCCGCAGGTAACACAAATAGTCTGCCACTTGAGGATGTGAAGCATCCCTCGCTGTAAATCCTTTATTAGCTGCATAATTTTCGAAACTGTGCCACTTGTCGTCCGCATTGTTACGAGTTGAGTGTCGTGAAGGCAAGCGTGACCGATTTTGCCGCCCTGGCAGAATATCCTCTCTTGTTTAAACACATTTGTATACAGTCCATAATGCGAAGTTGGTAAACTTCTGGGTTTCCGTGCACTTGTTTTGTGTGTGGATGTATTAACAGGTTTGAGCTTTGGGTAGCTCTAATACTGGTTGACCGATTTCTTGAATTAGACTGGGAAACCATACTCTGGCTGGCCAGTAGGGCTTAAACCAAAGTGAGTTGTAGACTCTGTGTTTGTTTGATTTTCTATAATACTTGAGGTATTATTGCTGGCGGGGAAACGCTGCGGCGCTGAGGCCTTCCCAAGATATACTTAGAGCGTCCGTTTCCCAAGCTTGTGGATCTGGGATTGGTGACACGTAATGTCGGTAACTGATTGTTGAATCTTGTGGCGAATAGATCTATTAGCGGCGCTGCTAACGGCTTGATTATCTGAGCAAATATTTCCGTATTGAGCATCCACTCTGTCGGTGATGGTAGATGAGACCGAGATAGCGCGTCTGCTAGTACATTCTTGGCTCCGGGAATGTGAACTGCTCTGATCTGTAGATTTAGATCGTGGGTTAGATCGAATAGTTGAAAGCTTAGATTCAAAAGGTTCAGTGATCTCGTTGAGCCTTGCTTGTTTACGTAGAACGCCACTGTAGAATTGTCTGTATGAATCATCAGGTGCGCATTTTGTAGAAATGTGCTCCAATGTAGAATGGCGTTGATTACAGCTTTCATCTCTAAGTTGTTTATGTGGAGTTTGCTTTCTTGTTGATTCCATATTCCGATGTCGCTTTGGTTGGCGAGATGAGCTCCCCAACCTTGAAGTGACGCTCCCACATATAGATGGGTTTTAATTCCTGCTCTGCTAAACAAATCCCTTCGCAGACATTCGATTTCTTTGTCCACCATAGTAGATGAGGTCTGAGATGTTTCGCAGACTGAATGGCTGTAAATCGTCGAGATGTGCATTGATGAAGACCTGTAAGGGACGAACTGTAACCTGCCTCTGACTGTCATGTCTTGGGCTGATGTGAGGAGACCTAGGAGGCTCTGCCATTGTCGAAGTGGTAACGGAGAGCGTAGAGCTGGTGGAATGGTCTGTTGGATCTTGATCCAACGGTCTTCTGGTACGACGATACGGTTGAGATTTGTGATAAATCGAATGCCTAGGAACTGTAGGTCTTGTGACGGTACTAGGTCCGACTTGAGTAAGTTTACTAACCATCCTAGTTGTGTTAGTAGCTTTATGATGTAATTTAACTGTAGTTTGAGATGCTGTGGATCTTGATCTACTTGTATCCCGTCGTCGAGGTAAAACGCACTGCGTAGCCCTTGATGATGAAGATAGGTGATAATCGGTTCCGTTATCCTCGTGAAAAGCCAGGGGGCTGATGATATTCCGAATGGGAGCACTTTCCACTGGTAATGTTGCCCGTCTAAGGTAAACCGTAGGTATTTCCTGGCTTTGGCGTGTCGGGATGTGCAGGTAAGCGCCCTGTAGATCGATACTGCCCATGTAGTCCATGGGGCGAATCAACTGCCGTAACTGAGGTAAATGTATCATGCGGAACTTCGGTGGTTTGCGTAGATAGTTCTTGTTGAAAAAGCTCATGTTGTAGATGAGTCTGTATTTCTCCTTGGAGTTTTTCTTGGGAACTAGGAAAACTGGGGAGTAGAAACCTGGTTCTATGTTGTCTTGGTCTAGTACTTCTATGGCCTGCTTTATTAAGAGTGATGTAACAGCCTCTCTTAACTTCGGTAGTTGTTGTGCCTGTACGTCGAACTTTAGTGGGATACGAAATCCGTGACGAAGAATGTTGGAGACATAAGGGTCTTGTAATATTCCCCAGTTTTCCCAGTAAAGTTGGAGGCGTCCACCCACTTGAGATGGTTGTACTGGAACGGCTGGGGGTGGAAGACTCCAGTCGTTCCGAACCTGTCTTTCAGCGTTTATAGTTGCGGGAACCTCTGGGTGTCCTGCCTCTTCCTGAACCTCCTCTATAGTTGCCGAATGGGCGACGAAAAGAATCTTTTCCTCTAGAGCTGGCTATCTTCCTGTCTCGTGCTCTCTGTAGGCCCGTGAATTTAGATCTTCCTGAGTATCTTTGAGAGGTCTGTCGGATGACACTGGCTAGTGTATCCATCGATTTAATCATCAGGACTTCTCTGGAATCCTTAGTGACTTCCTTGGAAACTTTGTCTATTTCTCCATTAAAGATGGATGTTGAAGACCACGGGGCTGTATACAGTGGGGCTGTAAAGTTCTCACCCCAGTTACAGGAAGCGAGGAGGCCTTGACGACGAGCTAAGGTCAGTGCTGCTGAAATAGATGTAAGATGATCTGTTAGGAACTGCTGGTCTTTCTTTGCATAAGTAAGGCAGAATAAATCATTCTATCATCCTCAGAAGTCGATCACGAAATCTGGTGATAAGAGTCTCATTGATCGCTCTAGATCTATTTAAACCAAAAACATACGCCTCGTCATGGTTTCTATCTGGACTAACTGCGATCATCAATCTTGTAATTCTTGTACTTGACATCGCTGATCAACTTATAGTTCTCGTCGATGTCCTGAGCTTTGAAGAAGGGGTCCATGTTATCGTGGAGAACTTCTTGGCATGAAAGTTTGGTAGATGTGGTGTCTGAACTTTTCGTGGGCTTTGTGGAATGCTGCATCTAGATTCTGTGGAACTGCTGCAATCGGGTCGATCGGGTGGTAGTGTGACAGCATCTGCATCGCCTTCTTTCATCAGATATGTCTGCCACATTGCCATTTTAGATGGTGATGAGAGATCTAGGTTATTGACCATCCAATACCGTATCTCAGCATCGGAGAAAATAACTCCTCCATCATCCTCTATACCATCATCATTGATGAGAGGTTGGTGCTGTTCTGGACTGCGTGCTTCTGTCTCTACGTCCGGCAATGCTTGTGCAGCTCTGTATGGTGATCTGTAAGGTGATCTACGTGGTGATGAACGAAGAGGCGATCGTCTAGGTGATCTACGTCTATGGGTTGATCTTCTCGGTGACCTGTGAGGAGAACGTTGATAGCTACACGAAGCTCTTGTGTAGTCCCTCGATGTCCTTCTAGATGATGAAGATCTGGATTCAGCTGGCCTCCGCGAATGCCTTCGCGAAGCTTCCTCTGCGTCCGGTCCAGGGGATTTACGATAAGACCTTCGCTAAGGCTTTCGTGATGTCTGATGGTCCGAGTCCACATCTTGGGATGAAGATGACGAGGGTGAAGATCTATCCCGCCTTCGCGAAGGCTGTACATCTAGGTCCTTCGTGGAGGTGGTCCGTGCCTTCCTTCGCGAAGGTGACATCGTCTTGGCTGCTACGTTGACGGGGGGTGCCTCTGGGGTGCTGTCTACGTTGGAGCCTTCGCTGGCTGCCTCGGTCCTTGCTTCTGCAGTCTATATCGGTCTTCCATCATCGCCATAATTTGCTGCATCAGGTCATCAGGGATGGTCTGCGACGATGTTGTCTCGCGCTCTTCTGCGGTGTTAATGATGGGGTCCACAGCAATAACGTCTGACATCGGTGTAGAGGCATCAGGCTGCATGAAGATCTCTGCTGAAGTCACTGTCGCTGACACCGGCCGCTTCTTGTGCCGTATGTCGGGGATGATAATCGGCTGGTCATCGTAGAGGCCCCTTTCTTCGGCTGGAACGATCTCGGCTGAGAAAGTTCTCGCTGTCTTCGTAGACTTCCCTTTGGATGTCGACGCTGCCCTGGGGGTACGAAGTCTGCGTTGAGAAGACGTCGAGGCCCTCTTGGACTTTATCTGCGATGACGGGATGTCTGGGGAGGCCGGCCGCTTCTTAGAGGTGACGGACTGCGTCCCACGTCCCTCTTCCGATGGGGTCTCTAGCAGAACACCAGACGGTAGGGGGTCGATCGCCAGCAGCTGACTAGATGGAGTATCTGGAGTATCAGCCATATTTAGCCCTTGTTTGCGTGACCTATCTGCAGCACGTCTTAAGACGCAAAGATAGTATTTATTAAATGCAGAATTAGATAAATTAATGCAATAACTGCAACGTGAATCAAACGCACACGGCGTAGAACAACTAGGGCATATTACATGCGGATCTGAGGCAGAAAAACGTAATCTACAAATAGTACAGATTTTCATCAACGTAATACTAGCTGAACAATCACGAATACACGTGAATAAACAGTAGAAATACGATAAATAATCAATACAAATTGCTGAAGGATACTAGCTATACCTCTATAGTACACTATAGGAGGTAAAAAACTAAGAAAAATCAAAGGATATGTTGTGTAAGGAGACACAGGCGCTCTCACATCCTGCTCACTGGGCAAAGAAGGAGAGAGTGAAGCACGAGGTATGAGGTGGCGACACCTTTCCCGCCAAAAGGGATCAAAGGGGAGCAACTCGTGGTGAGTACTGATTAGTGATTTTACATTGAAGGGAGCTTCAATTAAGGAGATACAAGTGTTTCCACTATGTTCGCAAGAAGAAGAAGACAAGCAAAAGAGCATGAGTCAGGATAAGGAAAAATATATGCTTTCGTATAGCAATATATCGCAATATAAAATTCTCTGCAATACCCAGCCCTATTTACGACACTCGTGCCTAAATATCGGTATATCCCTCGCTCTCACCCAGGAAATACTAACATTTAGTACTCGTGTCACAAACATAGTATGACACTGGCACTGATATATAGAGATTATTTACCTTGTGTGTTTCCATATTATTAATATCATATATTAGGAATAAATATTGTATTATGCGAGCCTTTGGCATAATAAAAATAATAAAAATTGTATTATGCAAGCCTTTGGCGAGCATAATACATAATTTTTTATTCTTAACATATGATATTAATGATACGGAAACAAACGAGGTTAATAATCTCTTTATCATATAATGTCATTCTTAACATTACTCTAAAAAAAGAAGCAAATCGTACGTGAATTTATATGAAGGGTATCGAGCATTCACTTAAGAATACTTAGCGGTACACCAAGGTGAAGGTCGTTCATGACGGCGGTATATGGTTGTGACTAGTTGCTAATACAATGCAAACAAAACTCATGCTTAAAATGAGATCTTTCTGTCTAAAAGGAACAACAAAACAGGGCAGGGTTTTCCTGTCAGTGATATCACCGCATCAATATCAGTTTCTGATACCTGATGGAATCAATTGATCGTCTGCATTGTGATCGATAGATCGAAATCCTTGATTGGTACCTTTCTTAGACGATTGCCTTTCAGTCGTGCTTCATAATCCGTACCTTCAATGTGAACGAAGTACTCCATTTCATGTTTTCCAAAGTCAATTACTGCAGTAATGACTCCAGAACCTCAGTCATCAATTCTTACAGAATCACCAATTTTGAGAATGGGGGAGGCCATGTTTGTTTACTAACAATGTAAACTCGTGACGACGTCATCAATGAATTGTTAAATGTTTAAGGATTCGCATGGCGTGTATGGAGTTTTGTGAAAGTAGTTCATGGATTGACGGAATTTGCATAGTTATCAGATTTGGATACCAAGTTTATCAGATTGCTTTATTGCACCGACAACAACCTCCATTAGATGATAAAATATCCTCTATACATACTGGGTAGTCTGCCTGCTTGTCTTCTAAAGGGGAGGTCTGACTACTGTCTGATTTAGGGGATACAACCTATTAGAAGGGAGTCTGTTGTCTTACACTGCCTGAAACTAACCTCCACTGTCCCCTTCTGGAACATCGATGTTGGGTGAGTCAGTTTCCTTCCTACTGTGTAACAACCTCTCTTCATATCGTGGGGAGGATCGGTCAAGCTGAAAGTAAAGCATAAGTGATCAAGTCTCTTGGCATCCACACAAGCTCAGCATTGAGTGCTAGACCTTACTCGGAATTATCTGGTTGGTGAAACAGATTACCTGTGTTGCAAAAATATTGCCAAAACCTTTATTTGCATGAACACACTGTCCTCAACCCTGAAGAGAATATAGTCCCTTCAGTCATCTCACTTCATGTCCATTTGACTCCCCTGTTCCCAGTCTCACCTCATCTGCAGACACAGACAAGTTGTCCCTGTCCTTCTTGGAGCCACTGGCCTGCAGCTTGTATTTCTTCTGCTGATGTGTCAGGAATTCCTGAATTCTGCACAAAAACGCCAACAATACAAAGTGAAACTTACACTAAATGACAAGACATAAATTTATCATTCACCCCCAACATGTTTATAATGCTACTTATTTCCAAATTAAATTTATCAATAAGAAACACGAATTTTGCTGCAATATTGATGATAGAACTGGAGTATATAGTGTGATCTTGACGGCAGTACTGACACGATAATGTGATGTAGATGGCAGTACAGGCAATATATTGTGATGTAGATGGCAGTACTGGTAATATACTGTGATGTAGATGGCAGTACTGGTAATATACTGTGATGTAGATGGCAGTACAGGCAATATATTGTGATGTAGATGGCAGTACTGGTAATATACTGTGATGTAGATGGCAGTACTGGTGATATACTTTGATATAGATGGCAGTACTGGTAATATATTGTGATGTAGATGACAGTACTGGTAATATAATGTGATGTAGATGGCAGTACTGGTAATATACTGTGATGTAGATGACAGTACAGGTAATATACTGTGATGTAGATGACAGTACAGGTAATATACTGTGATGTAGATGGCAGTACTGGTAATATATTGTGATGTAGATGACAGTACTGGTAATATACTGTGATGTAGATGGCAGTACTGGTAATATATTGTGATGTAGATGGCAGTACTGGTAATATACTGTGATGTAGATGGCAGTACTGGTAATATATTGTGATGTAGATGACAGTACTGGTAATATGCTGTGATGTAGATGGCAGTACTGGTAATATATTGTGATGTAGATGACAGTACTGGTAATATACTGTGATGTAGATGGCAGTACTGGTAATATACTGTGATGTAGATGGCAGTACTTAATATATTGATGATGTAGATGGCAGTACTGGTAATATATACTGTGATGTAGATGACAGTACTGGTAATATATTGTGATGTAGATGACAGTACTGGTAATATGCTGTGATGTAGATGGCAGTACTGGTATTATACATGATGTAGATGACAGTACTGGTAATATACTGTGATGTAGATGGCAGTACTGGTAATTTACTGTGATGTAGATGGCAGTACTGGTAATATATTGTGATGTAGATGGCAGTACTAGTAATATACTGTGATGTAGATGACAGTACTGGTAATATACTGTGATGTAGATGGCAGTACTAGTAATATACTGTGATGTAGATGGCAGTACTAGTAATATACTGTGATGTAGATGGCAGTACTGGTAATATACTGTGATGTAGATGACAGTACTGGTAATATACTGTGATGTAGATGACAGTACTGGTAATATACTGTGATGTAGATGGCAGTACTGGTAATATATTGTGATGTAGATGGCAGTACTGGTAATATACTGTGATGTAGATGACAGTACTAGTAATATATTGTGATGTAGATGGCAGTACTAGTAATATACTGTGATGTAGATGGCAGTACTGGTAATATATTGTGATGTAGATGGCAGTACTGGTAATATACTGTGATGTAGATGGCAGTACTGGTAATATACTGTGATGTAGATGGCAGTACTGGTAATATACTGTGATGTAGATGACAGTACTGGTAATATACTGTGATGTAGATGGCAGTACTGGTAATATATATAATGATGTAGATGGCAGTACTGGTAATATACTGTGATGTAGATGGCAGTACTGGTAATATATTGTGATGTAGATGGCAGTACTGGTAATATACTGTGATGTAGATGGCAGTACTGGTAATATATTGTGATGTAGATGGCAGTACTGGTAATATACTGTGATGTAGATGGCAGTACTGGTAATATATTGTGATGTAGATGGCAGTACTGGTAATATATTGTGATGTAGATGGCAGTACTGGTAATATATTGTGATGTAGATGGCAGTACTGGTAATATACTGTGATGTAGATGGCAGTACTGGTAATATACTGATGATGTAGATGGCAGTACTGGTAATATACTGTGATGTAGATGGCAGTACTGGTAATATACTGTGATGTAGATGGCAGTACTGGTAATATACTGTGATGTAGATGGCAGTACTGGTAATATACTGTGATGTAGATGATGTGATGTACTGGCAGTACTGGTAATATACTGTGATGTAGATGGCAGTACTGGTAATATATTACTGGTAATGATGTAGATGGCAGTACTGGTAATATACTGTGATGTAGATGGCAGTACTGGTAATATATTGTGATGTAGATGGCAGTACTGGTAATATACTGTGATGTAGATGGCAGTACTGGTAATATACTGTGATGTAGATGGCAGTACTGGTAATATATTGTGATGTAGATGGCAGTACTGGTAATATATTAATGATGTAGATGGCAGTACTGGTAATGTATATACTGTGATGTAGATGGCAGTACTGGTAATATATTGTGATGTAGATGGCAGTGTGATATACTGTGATGTATGGCAGTACTGGTAATATACTGTGATGTAGATGGCAGTACTGGTAATATATTGTGATGTAGATGGCAGTACTGGTAATATACTGTGATGTAGATGGCAGTACTGGTAATATATTGTGATGTAGATGGCAGTACTGGTAATATACTGTGATGTAGATGACAGTACTGGTAATATATTGAGATGTAGATGGCAGTACTGGTAATATACTGTGATGTAGATGGCAGTACTGGTAATATATTGTGATGTAGATGGCAGTACTGGTAATATACTGTGATGTAGATGGCAGTACTGGTAATATACTGTGATGTAGATGGCAGTACTGGTAATATACTGTGATGTAGATGGCAGTACTGGTAATATACTGTGATGTAGATGGCAGTACTGGTAATATACTGTGATGTAGATGGCAGTACTGGTAATATATTGTGATGTAGATGGCAGTACTGGTAATATACTGTGATGTAGATGGCAGTACTGGTAATATATTGTGATGTAGATGGCAGTACTGGTAATATACTGTGATGTAGATGGCAGTACTGGTAATATATATGTAGATGATGTACTGGTAATATATGGCAGTGTGATGTAGATGGCAGTACTGGTAATATACTGGTAATATGATGTAGATGGCAGTACTGGTAATATACTGTGATGTAGATGGCAGTGATGTAGATGGCAGTACTGGTAATATATTGTGATGTAGATGGCAGTACTGGTAATATACTAATGATGTAGATGCTTGAGTACTGGTAATATATTGTGATGTAGATGGCAGTTACTGGTAATATACTATGATGTAGATGGCAGTACTGGTAATATACTGTGATGTAGATGGCAGTACTGGGTAATATATACTAATGATGTAGATGGCAGTACTGGTAATGTAATATATTGTGATGTAGATGGCAGTACTGGTAATATACTGTGATGTAGATGGCAGTGTAGATGGATCCCGACAGGACTGAGACTAATCAGGACAGTGACCATCACACCAGGACAATCAGGACCACAGTGACCTATAGACCATAATCAGACAGATGACAGACCAGACCACCAGGATGTAGAACACACAGGATGACACCAGGACAGGACAGACACAGGATGGAGACCAGACAGACACAGACAGACACCAGGGACACAGACACAGATGACACAGACACCAGGACACAGACAGACACACCAGGACAGAGGACACAGACAGACACAGATGAGACACACAGGACACTGAGACAGACAGAGACAGACAGAGGACAGGACACAGGAGACAGACACACAGGACACAGACACAGGACACAGACACCAGAGACACACACACACAGGACACACACACAGACACACACACTGTAGGACACACACAGACAGAGGACACAGACAGACACAGACGAGATGACACACACAGACACAGACAGACAGGACAGAGACACCAGGACAGACACACACAGAGGACACAGACAGACACACACAGACAGACACAGGACACACACACATGGACACACACACAGGACAGACACACACAGACAACACACACAGACAGACACACAGGACAGGACACAGACACAGACACAGGACACAGATGACACCACGACAGACACAGAGGACACACAGACACAGATGTAGACACAGGACAGACACAGGACAGAGACAGAGACACACAGACACAGACACACACAGAGGCAGACAGGACACAGACACAGACACCAGACACAGACATAGACGATGTAGACACAGACAGACACAGACCAGAAGGACACAGAGACAGATGACAGACATGGACACAGACATGACAGACACAGACACAACGGACAGGACAGATGACAATGGACACAGATGACAGCACAGTACGGAGACAGATGACACAGACACAGAGACAGACGACAATGGACAATAGACAGACAGACAAGGACTGGAATAGCACACAGACAGATGGAATAGAAGAAAGGATGATAGACACACAAGGAAGAGAAGGAGGATGGTGAATGGATAGGACAGATGGTGGAATATGGATGTAGATGAGGGAATATATAGATGTAGATGGAAAATAGAATAGATGTAGATGAAAATATAATGGATGGAATGGACCGGAATAATGGATGGAATGATAAAATAATATATAGAAATAATATAATGGATGGTGCACAGAATAACAGGATGAATATACTGTGACAAATAGAAAACATAAATGTACTTGACATAGATGGCATACAGATGTAGATGACACTGAAAATATAATATAATGATGTAGATGGTAAAAATAATATAAAATATGGATATAGACAGGATAGAATGGATAGATGGAATAATGTGGATGTAGATGACATAGATGTAAGATGGTAATAATGGAAGATGGAAAAGAGACAGATGGTGCACAGAAGAGACAGATGTAGGAATGGAAAATAGCACAGGATGTAGATGAAGAACACAGGAATAATGGATATAATAGATAAAGATGGTAGAATAGATGACTGCACACAGATGTAGATGACAGTACTGGAAAATATAGACAGATGGAGTGGAAGATACAGACGGTGAAAATACACAAAGATGATATACTAGACAGATGTAGGATGGTGGACAGAGAAAGATAGATGACAAGATGTAGATGGACAGAATATAGATGACAGTACTAAAGAATATAGATGTAGATGGAAAATAATATACTGTGATGTAGATGGTGGAATAGACGTAGATGGTGAAATGGAATATAACAGAAGTAGAATATATGTAGATGGTACTGGTAATATACTGATGGATGGAAATATATAGATGTAGTAGATGGATAGAAGGACACTAAAAGATGGATGGTACACAGAATGTATGGATACAGGAATATAAACAGATGTAGAATGGAATATACTGAGATGTAGATGGAAAATAGCACAGATGTGGATGGAATAATATGTAAGATGGTGAAATGAGCCAGATGGAGATGGTAGTGGAATAGATGTAGATGGTGGAATATAACAGATGTAGATGGTAGTACAGGCACGGACAGGATGTAGATGGAAAATTAAAGAATAGACAGAATGGACAGGAATGGACAGATGTGGATGGTACAGTAATGGAAGAATGGATACTAGTGATAACAGGATGGATGGACAGGATATAATGGATATAGATGGTGGCACATAGATGGATGGTAATAGGTAATGGAATGGATGTAGATGGTGGTAACATAATGGATACTGTGAATGGAAGGAAGGCAGCAACAATGGTAATATACATGGAAGATGATAGGATATGCAGCACTGGTGGAATATAATAGGGATGCAGATGGTAATGGAGACGTAGACACAGCAACATTATCATGTACACAGCATCCATACATGTAGACAGATGACAGCATGGTAGTAACATATCAGATGATAGATGGCAGCACCGCACACATCAGATCCATGATGGACACAGCACCGAGGAAGGATAATATACCAGACGTAGATGGCAAACTGGAGACATATCAGATTATAGATGACAAGACCGAGATCATAATAATCAGATGGCAGGACTGATGACACAATCATTGAGACAGACGTAGACAGCATCCATAACATAATCAGACAGACAATCATAACATATCAGACACAGCACTGAGACACCAGACAGATGGCAGCACCGAGAACATATCAGACAGATGCAGCAATCAATCAGACGTAGATGCACAGCACCATAATCATTAACTCAGGATGTAGACACACAGGAACATAATGACAGACAGCAATTGGGAACATGACGTAGATCATAATCAGACGTAGACACAGCACAGGAACATAATCAGATGTAGATGACAGCAACTGGGAACATACCAGGATGTAGACAGCACAGGCAATCTATCAGACAGATGGCAGCACCACACTATAATCAGGATGTAGGATGGCAGCACAGGCACCCCATTGTGACAGATGGCAGTGACCACACATATCTGTGATGTAGACACAGCACTGGTGACACTTGACATAGACACAACTGGCACATATTTGTGATGTAGACGGCAGCACAGGCAATGAATCCTGGATGTAGACAGACCAGCATGAATCAGGATGGAATCCCGACCAGGACAGGACTGAGACAGGACAAGACAGGATGGAGACCAGACACAGAGACACCAGGACAGAGACAGACCAGACAGATGACATGAATCAGACAGATGGAGACAGACAGACACACAGCACAGAACACACACTGATGTAGACGACCAGACCAGGACCAGGATAGAGACAGACAGACCAGCACAGACACAGATGGATGACCAGACACAGACAGAGACACAGAGACACAGACAGGACCACAGAGGACCAGACAGACACAGGATGGAGACACAGACACAGACACACACACGGACAGACACAGATGTAGCACACACAGATGTAGATAAAAATCACACAGACAGAGACTGACAACACAGACACATGTAGAGACACAGGATAGACACACACAGACACAGATGTAGACACACACAAGGACACTGTGACAGACACAGACACAGGACTGACACACAGATGACAAGGACACAGACAGCACACACAGATAGACGACACACAGACACGACAGCACGACACACACACACAGACAGGACCAGACACACACAGACACACAAGATGGAGACCAGGACACAGGACACACAGACACACACACACAGGATGGAGACCACAGAGACCAGGATATGGACATAGAGACAGACAGACAACACACACAGAGGACACACAGGACAGAACACACACACAGGATGGACACCAGGATGGAATCACCAGGACACACTTGACACAGGACCAGACAGATGACCAGACACAGACAGACAGACAGATGACACCAGGACCAGGATGACACATAGAACACACACAGAAAGACACTGAGACAGAGACAGACAGGACCAGAGACCACAGGACAGGACACAGACAGACCACACACAGGACTGACAGACAGAATCAGGAATCACAGGACACCAGACACAGGAGGCACCAAGACACAGACAGACAGACCAGGACCAAGGCACGAGACAGGACACAGACACGACACAGGACACAATGGATGACGACACAGCACAGGACCAGACAACGGACAGCACCAGACACAGATGGCACCAAGGACACGGAGACCACACACAATGGACAGACGACAGCACACAGCACAGGACAGACAATGACCACACAGACAACACCACACCAAGGACAGGACCACAACGGACAGACGAGACAGACAGAACGCACCAGGACAGAGACACCGACACAGGACCAGACAGGATGGCACCAGCACACAGACCACAGACAGCACCAGACACAGACACCAGACAGACGGCACCACACACAGGAAGACACAGACACACAGCACACAGATGGCACACACACAGGCCACAGGCACACAGACAGATGCACACACACAGGCATGGTACTGGCACAGCCAGACCATGACCAGACCGACCACATCACACACCAGCACACAGTGGACACAGTACCAAGCACCACACACAATATACACAGCACCACACCCACATCACAATATATTACCAGTACTGCCATCTACATCACAATATATTACCAGTACTGCCATCTATCTACATCACAGAATATCTACATTCCAGTACTGCCATCTATCATCTATCACAATATAATACCAGTACTGCCATCTACATCACAATATATTACCAGTACTGCCATCTACATCTCAATATATTACCAGTACTGCCATCTACATCACAATATATTACCAGTACTGCCATCTACATCACAATATATTACCAGTACTGCCATCTACATCACAATATATTACCAGTACTGCCATCTACATCACAGTGTATTACCAGTACTGCCATCTACATCACGGTATTGTATATTACCATTAGTATTACTGCCATCTACATCTGCAATATATTACCAGTACTGCCATCTATATCAAAGTATATTACCAGTACTGCCATCTACATCACAGTGTATTCCCAGTACTGCCATCTACATCACAGTGTATTACCAGTACTGCCATCTACATCGTTAGGATGAGAAAGCCACAATAACTCGGTGCGCCTAGTGGCTGCAAGAGTTGTATACTCCCCAGGGAGTTGAGATTGATAATACGATGTGCTGTTGAGATTGACATCCAATGATCGAGGGAAAAAATACCAGCGCCTTGAGCATGCACTAGTTGCGTGGATATGTGCGCTATATAAATATCCTATAATAAAATAAATAATAAATGTAGATGGCAGTACTGGCAATATACTGTGATGTAGATGGCAGTACTGGGACTATAGTGTGAGGTGGGTATTTGCTTACTTGGTGTTCCAGCGTACCACAGCCTCAGCCACCAGTCTCTTCAACTTGATCAGGTCATCGTGTATCTCAAGGAACACTGGCTTAAACTCAGTACCTTGGTGAAGAAATAACTTCCAAATGAGGTCACTTTGTGTACCTTTGTTTAACTTTGTTAAAAGATAGCAACCATCTGTCTGCCCCTAGATGTGGAACAGTGAATATTCCATGCAGTATCATGGAACCATAATTATCATTCCCAATAATTCAAAGAACACTACTTAGCTCTACCAGAAATCCTACATTACACAATTAATATCTTCAGATTTTCAACATAAGTTTTACATTGTGAAATAACCAGTACCAGTTAAGATATAATAGTGTATCTCGTTCCTTAGGCTCTTGTGCTTGTGAGAGGCAGGAAAACGTCACTTCTTTCAAACATCAGCAAGGCAGTTGGGTCACCTTGTGGTTAAAGCATTTGGTCTTCATGGTGAAGACCCGGGTCTTCCCACATGGATACAAAGCGTGAAGCCCATTTGTTTTGTTCGTGCCATGATATTGCTGGAACACAGCTGGGTGTTCTAGTGGTTGCAATAGCTGTAGTATTAATACTGATTATAACTACAGTTTGATACTACAATAAACAAAAACTCTTTTATATCACAGTCAGAGTCAGGGATCTTCTGTTACTTTGATGCATTACCCAAATCTTTACAATTTCTACCAACCTAAGCTGTCCCCACCTTTTCCTGTTGCAATGATGTTACCTGCATCCATTTTCTACCATTGCATCTACTCAAGGCTGTCATCATCTCTACTGCCTCTACCCACCCGAGCCGTCCCTAACTTCCCACTTCTCTACACACCTGAGCCGTCCCTCCACTTCCTACCACTTCCCTACCCACCCGAGCCGTCGCTTCATCCTCCTACTGCTCCCCAACGCATTTGAATTCTGTCCCCACTTCCCACTTCTCACCCATTTGAGCCTGTCCCTCATTACCCACTACTCTACCCACCTGAGCTGTCCCCCAATCTCACCGCTCTACCCATTTGTGCTGTGCCCCTACTTCCCCACTTCTCTACCCACCTGAGCTGTCCCCCACTTCCTACTGCACCCACCCGAGCCAAACCCCCACTTCCTACTGCTCTACCCACCTGAGCTGTAATTCCCACTTCCTACCGCCCCTCTACTCCACCCGAGTTGTCATCCTTATTCCTTATTCTCTACCCACCTGATTCAGTCCTCCAACTCCACCCTGTTCCCTACCTTAACCCCAGCTGTCGTCCCCACTCCCTACCGTTCTCACCAATCTGTTTCGTCCCCCACTTCCTACTTCTCTACCCACCCTCAGCTGTACCACCACTTCCCCACTGCTCTACCCACCTGAGCTGTCCCCCACCTCCTACTTCTCTACTCCACCCCAGCTGTACCCCACCTCCTACCGTTCCCCACCAATTTGAGCTGTCCCCCTACTTCTAACGACCCTTGTCCCCACTTACTGTTTCACCCACCTCAGCTAACCACTTCCCACCACCTTCGTCCTACTGCTCTTCCACCCACCCCAGTTAATTCCCCCTTCACTTCCTACTACACTTTAATCCCACCTACCTGATCAGTCCCCAATCCAACTTAACTCACTTAATTAACGCTCTACCCACCTCCAGCCTAATTTAACCCACTGTTCATCGCACTTAGCACCTTTACCCACCTGAGTCCTGCAACTTCACTGTTCTAACACCTTTTCAATTGCTCTACCTTACCTTTATCTAACTTATCAGTCCCCACTTCCCTTAACTGCACTAATTTACCCTCAGCTTTAATTTATCCCCTGATGAAACCGACCTTCTACTGCTCAACCTCAATCACCATCATCCTCAGCTACCCCTTCTACCTTTCTCTTATCTGCTCTACCCACCCTGATCAGTCCTCAGCTACCCCTAATCCTTTAATCTTCTACCTTCTACTTAACCCCAGCTCCGACCTTCTACCCACCTCAGCATCCCAGCTGTAATCCCCACCTTCTACTACTCGAAGCACTTAACTTCACCCACGATCTGATCAGTCCTCCATTAATTCAACGATCCTTAGCTTAATCGACTGCTCTCAGCCCTTCCGACCACCTCAGCTAATTTATCTTAATTTCCCACCTTCTACTGCAACCTCTACCCACCTCGACCTTCTACTGCTACCCCACCCTTCTACTACACTATCCACCTGATCAGTCCTCCCCAACTTCTACTGCTCTACTCCACCTCAGCTACCTCCAACTCTATTGCCTTTACTCCACCTGAGCTGTCCCACCTTCTATTGCCTCTACACACGACCTGATCAGTCCCCCACTTCCTATCTACCACCCTTTCACCCTTGTCTCAGCTACCCTTTCACCCGCCTTCTGCATCAATTTGATCGCCTCTTCTACCCACCCTTAGCTACCCCACCTTCTCACTGCCTCTACCCACCTGATCAGTCCTCCTTCTACTTCTACTGCTCTACCCAATCTTCAGCTTCACCCCTTACCTTCCACTTCTCTACGAACCTCCAGCTAATCTCTAATCTTCTACTGTTCTAATCACCCCAGCCACCCGACCTACGTTCCAATTCCACCTTCCTACTGCTTCACCCAATCTCAGCTTACCCCACTTCATTCTACTGCTCTGTCCTCCACCACTGTTTCACCTAATTCCAGTTTCTAATCTTTACCTTCTATCGCATCTAATCGAGCTTTGTCCCCACCTTCGGTTGTTCTATCGCGACCTGACTGCACTTAATTTCCTACTTCTATTGCACCTACCCACCCTGTTTCATCGCCACCATCGCACCAGCTTCTTAATTTCGGCCGTTTCACCACCTCAGCGTCCTCCATCTTCTACTGCCTCCACCCACCCTCAGCTAATTCTACCCCATTGCCCTTCTACTACACTCACCCACTGGATCAGTCACCGCCACCTTCTACTGTTCTTTCACCCACCCTCAGCCACCACCACCTTCTACCGCTCTTTCTACCCACCCTACTGAAGCTAATCGCACCAGCAATTTAATCTTCTACTTTTAATCTACTCCACCTGGATCTCCGCCTACATCCACGATCATCATACCTTAACTTTACCGTTTAGCTAATTCCGACCTTCTACTGTTCTTAATCGACTCCACCGACCTCAGCTCGACCCCACCTTCTACTGCTCTACCCACCTCTAAGCAGTCTAACCTTCGTTTGCCGCACTCAGCACTACCCACTGTTCTGCCCACTTTAGCCACCGACTTTATTGTTTTAACGACCCTCAGCTACCCCACCTTCTACCTTGCCTCTTACCCACCTTAATTCTATCGTTTCATCAATTCGAAGCTTCAATTCCATCTTACCCACCTGCTCTACCCCACTTTACCTTTCATTCCACCCCTTTACTGTTCTACTCCACCCCAGCTACCCCACCTTCACTGTTGCTCTACCCACCTGATCAGTCCTCCAACTTCTACCGTTTCCACCCACCTCAGCTAATTCTGCAATTCTTCTACTCAGCTCTACCCACCTCAGCTTAATTTAATTCCCACCTTCTACCTGACGTCTACCCACCTTCATCAGTACCCCACCTTGCTACTGACTTCTACTGCGTCTTCACCTCAGCATACTCCCACTCTACGTCTACTGCTCTCTAGCATCCACTTTACTGTAGCTACCCCCACCTTTCTACTAATCCTGCACTCCACCTGATCAGTCAGTCCTCCAACTTCTACTGCTCTACCCACCTCGTGCTACCCTCACCTTTCTATTGTTTCCCCATCGCACTTTAAGCTGTCCCAGCTTTATTGTTCTTACCACCTTGATCGTCCAATTCCCCACTAATGCACCTTTAAGCTACATCTTTACCCACCGCATTGCTTCCTACCGACTTCTACTGCTCTTCCCACCTGTTCCCATCCAGCTACTCCCACCTTCTACTGCTCTACCCACCTGAAGCAATCCCCACCTTCTCACTGCTCTACCCAATTTCAGCTACACCTAACCTCTAGCACTACCCACCTTCTACTGCCACCTTCTATTGCCACCCACCTGATCAGTCACCCTTAATCTTCTACTGCTCTCTCACCCACCTGATCAGCCACCCCACCTTCTATCGCCTGCTCTCACCCACCCCAGTTACACTCCCACCTTCTACTGCATCTACCCACCTCAGCTAGTCCCACCTTCTACCACACTGCACCCACCTGATCAGTTCCCACCTTCTACCGCACTACCCACCCTCAGCCAATTCCACCTTCTACTGCTCTACCCACCTCAGCTACCCCACCTTCTACTGCGTTCTACCCACCTCATCAGCCACCACATCTTCTACTGCTCTACCCACCTCAGCCACCCCACCTTCTACTGCTCTACCCACCTTTTCAGCTACCCCAATCTTCTACTGCACTACCCACCTGATCAGTCCCCCACTTCCTACTACACCTTACCCATCCTTAGCCGATACCCTACCTTTAATCGTTCTACTCTACCACCTCACGATCAGCCTCCCCAATCTTCTACCGTTCTACCCAATCTCCAGCCAGCCACCTTCTACCACCTCTCTGATCCCCACCTTCTACTACCCATCCATCTTCTACCCACCTTCTCAACACCACCCACCCTGCCACCCCACCTTTCTACTGCTCTACCCACCCCTCAATTCCTACTCCCACCTTCTACCGCACCACCCACCTCAGCCACCCCACCTTCTACCGCTCAATTCACCTAATCTGATCACCCCCAATCCCACCAGCCACCCCATTCTGCTACCGCTCCACCCTCAGCTACCCCACCCCTAGCTCTACCCACCTCTAGCCAATTCCCACCTTCTATTGCTCTACCCACCTGATCAGTCCCCCACCTTCTACTACACGCACCCACCCGCCATCTCCACCCTAATCTTCTACTGTTTCTACCCACTTCAGCTACCCCAACTTCTACTTCACCACACCCTCAGCTACCCTGATCTCCCATTGTTCCCCACCCACCTCAGCTACCCCCACTTCTACTGTTCTTAACGACACCACCCACCTGTTAGCAATCCACCCCACTTTCTACTGTTCTAACCACCTCTCAGCTACCCCACCTTCTACTTCTACTCTGCGCACCCACCTCGACCAGTCCTCCACCACTCTACTGCTCTACCCACCCTCAGCTACCTAATTCCATCTTCTATTGCCCTACCCACCTCAGCCAATACCCACCTTCTACTCCTTAACCTTCTACCGTTTCAGCCACCCCACCGACCTTATACTGCCTACCCACCCTCAGCTACCCTTAATCTGCACTGTTTCACCCACGTCCTCCACCTGATCAGTCCCCCACCCTTTCAGCACTCACACTACCACGACCCTCAGCCACCCCACCTTCTATTTCACCCACCTGCTCCCCACCCACACCCAGCCTCACCCCACCTTCTACCGCTCTCACCCACCTGATCAGTCCTCCAACTTCACCGCCCTACCCACCCCAGCCACCCCACCTTCATTGCCTCTGCAACCCCAGCCACCCCCACCTTCTACACACTACCCACCTGATCAGTCCCCCACTTCTACCGCTTCTACACACCCCAGCCAGTCCCCACCTCTACCGTTTCACCCACCTCAGCTAACCCAATTTCTACTGCGTTTACCCACCCAATCAGCTCCACCCCACCTCTACTACACTACCCACCCTCAGCTACCCCCACCTTCTACTCTACCGCCCTACCCACCTTCAGCTACCTCTAATCTTCTCTACTAACACCACCTGCCTCTACCCACCCCACCTTTCAGCTAACCCAGCATCGAACCTCTATTGCTCTACCCACCTGATCAGTCCTCCAACTTCTACCACCCACCTCACCACCCACCCTTCCACCCCACCTTCTACCGCTCTTACCCACCTCAGCCCACCCACCCTGTCTCCACCTTAATCTACCGTTTCTGCTCTTACCCAATTACCCCAGCTACACCCACCCCAGCCAATCCTCTACTACCCACCTCTACCAATCTCTACTTTCACACCCTCACCTGAGCAGTCCTCCAACTTCTACCGTTCTACCCACCCTCAGCTACCCCGTCACCACCTCAGCCAATTCCACCAATCTTCTGTACTTTCACCTCACCTTATCAGTAACTTCTACTAACCCAGCCACCCCACCTCTATTGCCCTCTACCCACTCTTAACCCACCTTCTATTGATCAGTCCTCCAACTCTCTACTTCACACCACCCACCCCAGCTTACCCCCACCTTCTGCTACTCACTCTCTACCCACCTCAGCTACCCCACCTTCTACTGCTCTACCCACCCCCCACCTTTCTACTGCACCCACCTCAGTTACCCCACCTTCTACTGCTCTACCCACCCCCCACCTTCTACCGCTACACCCAACCTCACCTCCATCCCAGTCCCCACCTTCTACTACCCTACCCACCCTTCAGCCCCCCACCTTCTACTGCTCTACCCTCAGCTACCCCACCTTCTACTCTTCTCTGTCTCTATCCCACCTTCACCTTCCAGCTACCCCACCTTCTACTGCTCTACCCACCTCAGCTACCCCCACCTTTCTACTCTTCTACCCACCTCAATTTACTACAGTCCTACCCACTTCTACTACTCCCCATCTTTCTACTCTTATACCCACCTCATCACCCCCACCTTCTATTGTTTCTCCCACCCACCCTCAGCTACCCCAATCTTATTGCCCACCCACCTGCTACCCCACCTTCTACCCACCCACCCTGATCAGTCCCCACTTCCTACCACACTACCCACCTCCACCCCACCTTCTACTGCTCTACCCACCTCAGCTACCCCACCTTCTACTGTTTCTACCCACCTGATCAGTCCTCCAACTTCTACCGCTCTCTCACCCACCCTCAGCTACCCCACCTTTCATTGCTCTACCCACCCTCAGCTACCCCACCTTCTACAACACTACCCACCTGATCAGTCCCCCACTTCTACCACACTACCCACCCTCAGCCAATCCTTAATCTTCTACTGCTCTACCCACCCCAGCTACCCCACCTTTCTACTGATCTACCCACCCTCAGCTACCCCATCTCTACTGTTCTACCCACCTCAGCTACCCCACCTTCTACTGCTCTACCCACCTCAGCCACCCCACCTTCTACTGCTCTTCCCACCTCAGCTACCCCACCTTCTACAACACTACCCACCTGATCAGTCCCCCACTTTCTACTACACTACCCATCTCAGTTACCCCACCTTCTACTGCTCTAACCACATCAGCTACCCCACCTTCTACTGCTCTACCCACCTGATCAGTCCTCCAACTTCTACTGCTCTACCCACCTCAGCTACCCCACCTTCTATTGCTCTACCCACCTCACCTACCCCACCTTCTACAACACTACCCACCTGATCAGTCCCCCACTTCTACTACACTACCCACCTCAGCTACCCCACCTTCTACTGCTCTACCCACCTCAGCTACCCCACCTTCTACTGCTCTACCCACCTCAGCCACCCCACCTTCTACTGCTCTACCCACCTCAGCTACCCCACCTTCTACTACACTACCCACCTGATCAGTCCTCCAACTTCTACTGCTCTACCCACCTCAGCTACCCCACCTTCTACTGCTCTACCCACCTCAGCTACCCCACCTTCTACTACACTACTCACCTGATCAGTCCTCCAACTTCTACTGCTCTACCCACCTCAGCTACCTCACCTTCTATTGCTCTACCCACCTCAGCTGTCCCACCTTCTATTGCTCTACGCACCTGATCAGTCCCCACTTCCTACTACACTACCCACCTCAGCTACCCCACCTTCTACTGCTCTACCCACCTCAGCCACCCCACCTTCTACTGCTCTACCCACCTCAGCCACCCCACCTTCTACTGCTCTACCCACCTCAGCTACCCCACCTTCTACTACACTACCCACCTGATCAGTCCTCTACCTTCTACTGCTCTACCCACCTCAGCTACCCCACCTTCTATTGCTCTACCCACCTGAGCTGTCCCACCTTCTATTGCTCTACCCACCTGAGCTGTCCCCGTCTCCACCTAGTTCCTGCAGTTTCTGCTGCACATCCTGTGCCAGATCTCGCAGCCTTGACTTCTCAGACTGTTGCTCTGTGACAAACTCTGACACAGCCCGGGCTGTAGATTCACTCTGTGTTTCATTTCGGAGCTTCATCGTACACTCCAGAATAGTACTGTATTTCTCCATACCTCTGAAGAATGATGATCAGATTTTACCTCAAAGCTGTGATACACAATAAATAATATTTGTCTAGTAGTACCCCTGAAAGAGGAAGTGTACAGTCAGAATTGATAATTGTAACTACTGATTGTATATTTGAAATACTCATCCTATGTCACGTTATGCTCTTTCACTTGTTTTTATGACCTTGGAGTTGAACAACCTGAAACAAACTTCTCAGCTTACGCCTCACACGAACACATCCAAGCTCCAACTATTGCTGCCAGTCACTAAAGCTCATGCAAAGCGTGCAACTTGCTCTGATCGACCATGTGACTCCCAACTATCTTCACTCTCTTGACTAAGTGCCAGAACCATCCAAATATTCTGCAAGGTCTTTTACACTCTAAGGTCTTTTACACTCCCAAGGTCGTAAAAACAAGAACCTCATAACATAAGACAGGATTTTTAAAATTCAGCTTTAAATATATCACCTTTTTTTGGTAAAATATACGTTTATTTCTCACATATAAAACAGAATGGGGAGGGAATATTTTTCAAAATCAAAGTGAGGGTTAAAGAGGATGTACATATATATCTCCCGCTGGCATGCAGAGCATTAAAACAGCTGACTGCAAACTAAGACACAAGAACCAAATGCCTGTACATCATCTGGTGAAATGGGTCAAATAATTGTGTTATCTCATTTAATTACTACAAGCATGTATTTTCCAGTGTATGTTGACAAATGTTTACATGTAAACACTGTACAGCAGTCATGTCTGTATATACAGTACTTACCTGTTGGTGATGCTACGCACAACATCCTTGAGTTTGTCCACACTGGCAGGTGTCTGATGGAGGGTCACTATGACAGGAGGTAAAGCAAGTTCCCTCAGCAACAGATCAGAGTACCTGGAAACAAGTACTGTAATGTGTTAACCACAGTCAAATATACCCTGATAGTTCTATCAGCAACAGATCAGAGTACCTGGAAACAAGTACTGTAATGTGTTAACCACAGTCAAATATACCCTGATAGTTCTATCAGCAACAGATCAGAGTACCTGGAAACAAGTACTGTAATGTGTTAACACAATTAAATATACCCTGATAGTTCCCTCAGCAACAGATCAGAGTACCTGGAAACAAGTACTGTAATGTGTTAACCACAGTCAAATATACCCTGATAGTTCTATCAGCAACAGATCAGAGTACCTGGAAACAAGTACTGTAATGTGCTAACCACAGTCAAATATACCCTGATAGTTCTATCAGCAACAGATCAGAGTGCCTGGAAACAAGTACTGTAATGTGTTAACACAATTAAATATACCCTGATAGTTCCCTCAGCAACAGATCAGAGTACCTGGAAACAAGTACTGTAATGTGTTAACCACAGTCAAATATACCCTGATAGTTCTATCAGCAACAGATCAGAGTACCTGGAAACAGGTACTGTAATGTGTTAACACAATTAAATATACCCTGATAGTTCTATCAGCAACAGATCAGAGTACCTGGAAACAGGTACTGTAATGTGTTAACACAATTAAATATACCCTGATAGTTCTATCAGCAACAGATCAGAGTACCTGGAAACAAGTACTGTAATGTGTTAACACAATTAAATATACCCTGATAGTTCTATCAGCAACAGATCAGAGTACCTGGAAACAGGTACTGTAATGTGTTAACACAATTAAATATACCCTGAAGTTCTACAACAGTCAAAGTATACACAAGTACTGTAATGTGTTCTATCAAATATACAATAGATCTATCAGCAACAGATCAGAGTACCTGGTAACAAGTAATGTGTGTTAACACAATTAAATATACCCTGATAGTTCTATCAGCAACAGATCAGAGTACCTGGAAACAAGTAATGTGTTAACACAATTAAATGATAGTAACAGATCAGATTGGAAACAAAATATACCCTGATATCAGTTCTATCAGCAACAGATCAGAGTACCTGGAAACAAGTACTACTGTAAATGTGTTAACCACAGTCAAATATACCCTGATAGTTCTATCAGCAACAGATCAGAGTACCTGGAAACAAGTACTGTAATGTGTCAAATATACCCTGATAGTTCTATCAGCAACAATCAGAGTACCTGGAAACATACCCTGTGTTAACCAGTTCTATACCCTGATAGTTCATCACAGATCAGAGTACCTGGAAACAAGAAACAATGTGTTAACCACAGTCAAATATACCCTGATAGTTCTATCAGCAACAGATCAGATACCTGGAAACAAAGTACTGTAATGTGTTAACTGTCAAATATACCCGACATAGTTCTATCAGCAACAGATCAGAGTACCTGGAAACAAGTACTGTAACAGTGTTAACCACAGTCAAATATGATAGTTCTATCAGCAACAGATCAAGTACCTGGAAACAAGTATAATGTGTTAACACAATTAAATATACCCTGATAGTTCTATCAGCAACAGATCAGAGTACCTGGAAACAAGTACTGTAATGTGTTAACCACAGTCAAATATACCCTGATAGTTCTATCAGCAACAGATCAGAGTACCTGGAAACAAGTACTGTAATGTGTTAACCACAGTCAAATATACCCTGATAGTTCTATCAGCAACAGATCAGAGTACCTGGAAACAAGTACTGTAACGTGTTAACCACAGTCAAATATACCCTGATAGTTCTATCAGCAACAGATCAGAGTACCTGGAAACAAGTACTGTAATGTGTTAACCACAGTCAAATATACCCTGATAGTTCTATCAGCAACAGATCAGAGTACCTGGAAACAAGTACTGTAATGTGTTAACCACAGTCAAATATACCCTGATAGTTCTATCAGCAACAGATCAGAGTACCTGGAAACAGGTACTGTAATGTGTTAACCACAGTCAAATATACCCTGATAGTTCTATCAGCAACAGATCAGAGTACCTGGAAACAAGTACTGTAATGTGTTAACCACAATTAAATATACCCTGATAGTTCTATCAGCAACAGATCAGAGTACCTGGAAACAAGTACTGTAATGTGTTAACCACAGTCAAATATACCCTGATAGTTCTATCAGCAACAGATCAGAGTACCTGGAAACAAGTACTGTACCTGGAAACAAGTATGTGTTAACACAATTAAATATACCCTGATAGTTCTATCAGCAACAGATCAGAGTACCTGGAAACAGGTACTGTAATGTGTTAACCACAGTCAAATATACCCTGATAGTTCTATCAGCAACAGATCAGAGTACCTGGAAACAAGTACTGTAATGTGTTAACACAATTAAATATACCCTGATAGTTCTATCAGCAACAGATCAGAGTACCTGAAAACAAGTACTGTAATGTGTTAACACAGTCAAATATACCCTGATAGTTCTATCAGCAACAGATCAGAGTACCTGGAAACAAGTACTGTAATGTGCTAACCACAGTCAAATATACACTGACAGTTCTATCAGCAACAGATCAGAGTACCTGGAAACAAGTACTGTAATGTGTTAACACAATTAAATATACCCTGATAGTTCTATCAGCAACAGATCAGTACATCCAGGAACAAGTACTGTAATGTGTTAACACAATTAAATATACCCTGATAGTTCTATCAGCAACAGATCAGAGTACCTGGAAACAGGTACTGTAACGTGTTAACACAATTAAATATACCCTGATAGTTCTATCAGCAACAGATCAGAGTACCTGGAAACAAGTACTGTAATGTGTTAACCACAGTCAAATATACCCTGATAGTTCTATCAGCAACAGATCAGAGTACCTGGAAACAAGTACTGTAATGTGTTAACCCAATTAAATATACCCTGATAGTTCTATCAGCAACAGATCAGTACATCCGGAAACAAGTACTGTAATGTGTTAACACAATTAAATATACCCTGATAGTTCTATCAGCAACAGATGAGAGTACCTGGAAACAAGTACTGTAATGTGTTAACACAATTAAATATACCCTGATAGTTCTATCAGCAACAGATCAGAGTACCTGGAAACAAGTACTGTAATGTGCTAACCACAGTCAATTATACCCTGATAGTTCTATCAGCAACAGATCAGAGTACCTGGAAACAAGTACTGTAATGTGTTAACACAATTAAACATACCCTGATAGTTCTATCAGCAACAGATCAGAGTACCTGGAAACAAGTACTGTAATGTGTTAACCACAGTCAAATATACCCTGATAGTTCTATCAGCAACAGATCAGAGTACCTGGAAACAGGTACTGTAACGTGTTAACACAATTAAATATACCCTGATAGTTCTATCAGCAACAGATCAGAGTACCTGGAAACAGGTACTGTAATGTGTTAACCACAGTCAAATATACCCTGATAGTTCTATTCTGAGAATCTACCAACAAACGCTGATGTGCTGTGTGCGCTACCTGAATGATGCCACCATGTTGTTGTAGCCGAAGTACTGGTTGTGGTCCTGATGCAGGGAGTGAGTACACGGCTCCGCACTGGCCCGTCCCGTCTGCAAAACTGCACACCATGGAAGCGCAACTCCAAGTACTTGGCAAAGGATAGGTTCCAGGTATCCACGGTGATAGGGACAACTGGAGTCACCTACATAGACAATGAACAACAATCACAGATGACTCATTGGATATGCATGAAGACACACACCTGCTTACACCACAACACTACTACAGGACACACACCTGCTTACACCACAACACCACAACAGGACACACACCTGCTTACACCACAACACTACTACAGGACACACACCTGCTTACACCACAACACTACTACAGGACACACACCTGCTTACACAACACCACAACAGGACACACACCTGCTTACACCACAACACTACTACAGGACACACACCTGCTTACACCACAACACTACTACAGGACACACACCTGCTTACACCACAACACTACTACAGGACACACACCTGTTTACACCACAACAGGACACACACCTGCTTACACCACAACACCACAACAGGACACACACCTGCTTACACCACAACACTACTACAGGACACACACCTGCTTACACCACAACACTACTACAGGACACACACCTGTTTACACCACAACACTACTACAGGACACACACCTGCTTACACCACAACACTACTACAGGACACACACCTGCTTACACCACAACACTACTACAGGACACACACCTGCTTACACCACAACACTTCAACAGGACACACACCTGCTTACACCACAACACTACTACAGGACACACACCTGCTTACACCACAACACTACTACAGGACACACACCTGCTTACACCACAACACCACAACAGGACACACACCTGCTTACACCACAACACTACTACAGGACACACACCTGCTTACACCACAACACTACTACAGGACACACACCTGCTTACACCACAACACTACTACAGGACACACACCTGCTTACACCACAACACTAATACAGGACACACACCTGCTTACACCACAACACCACAACAGGGCACACACCTGCTTACACCACAACACTACTACAGGACACACACCTGCTTACACCACAACACTACTACAGGACACACACCTGCTTACACCACAACACCACAACAGGACACACACCTGTTTACACCACAACACTACTACAGGACACACACCTGCTTACACCACAACACTACTACAGGACAAACACCTGCTTACACCACAACACTACTACAGGACATACACCTGCTTACAACACAACACTACTACAGGACACACACCTGCTTACACCACAACACTACTACAGGACACACACCTGCTTACACCTCAACACTACTACAGGACACACACCTGCTTACACCACAACACTACTACAGGACACACACCTGCTCACACCTCAACACTACTACAGGACACACACCTGCTTACACCACAACACTACTACAGGACACACACCTGTTTACACCTCAACACTACTACAGGACACACACCTGCTTACACCACAACACTACTACAGGACACACACCTGCTCACACCTCAACACTACTACAGGACACACACCTGCTTACACCACAACACTACTACAGGACACACACCTGTTTACACCGGCAGCACCAGCTCCACATCAAGATATTGTTCTGGCCACCAGCAATCACTGAGTCCAGTTTTTTCAAGACGACGTTGAGGTAGCCCTTGTCATGAGCAAATCGGCGTATGTGATGAATCATGGGCGTGTCACATGACACAGATGGACAGGAGTAGGATTTCCTGAAGTAAGGTAGTTTGGAGTGAGTGAGTGACAGAGTGTGTGTGGTAAACCCACAGAAATGCTTCCAGTGATAATCAACAGTACATGTGTTGACAGTGTCGGAGTATAAGTATCTGGGAACCTTCATTGACTCTAAGCTGAACTGGAACTCTAACACTAAAGCCCTATACAAAAAGTGTCAACAACGTCTTCATCTCATGCATAAACTGAGATCTTTTAATGTTAACCCATTTGTGATGTCATCTTTTTATGCAGCATTTATTCAGAGTATTTTAACATTTTACTTCCATTGTTGATACGGGTCTCTCTCAGTTCATCTCAAATCTAAAATAGACAAAATTGTTAACACTAACAAGTAAAATCGCTGGAGTCGGATTTGAATGTTTATCATCAAGTATGAGCGGCAAATCGTGAATCAAGCTGTCAAAATTATATCTGACCCTACTCACTACTTAAATTCGGAATACAACCTCTTCCCTTCAGGCCGCCACTACAAAGTTTCAATTGTGAAAATTAAGAGAACCCGTACATCCTTTATTCCAAGTACCATATCTCTCTTAAAGGTCACATGCACTGTAAAACACAACTTTGCAGATTCTGATACCTTTTGGTATGGACTTACCGAAACAAATCATCAAAAATGCAAATTCAACTTAAAAAGTTGAAAAAAAACCGCGATGAAAAAAACCGCTCGAAATCAGATTTCAAACGATTCACTAATTCTCCCCCGCGTGCGCAGTGAAATAGGTTCGCGCAACTTGGAAGCGGGCTGTCCGGTGAATACTCGGTGAAGGCTTTGGTGTGAGCTATTTTCCTAATGTTTTGTTGATATCTCACAGGCGCGAGCTTTTTATATGTTATGACAGTAAATTAACTGTTTATATCATTTCATTTGTCTATTTCACCACACGTTCTTCTTACCGAGTCACTTTCTCAGTTCGATACTTAAAAGCAATGTCATTATTTAGCTTTGACAGAATTTCTAACTGTGATATAGATATGTCGTTGTCACAGACAAAACTCAATGTCTTGTTTTATTGACAACCGTGTGTCTGCCTGCCTGTCTGCTAATGACAATATTCAATACACAGCTGCTATCACTGACCACATGCAATTTGAACTTAACACCAATCAGGCTATACACCATAAACAAAACGCAATGATTTATGTTATGATGTCTGTTGATTGCAAAATGTTATACACAAAAAATGAGCATGTATTTACAAAACCCAACATCTCTATATATATGCACACACAATGAGCCGTGAGGGCATCTGCAAATGAACCAGCCGTTACACTTGAGTGCACACCCACCCGCTCTGACTGGGTTCGGTATCCCGGCTGCTTCGTTTCTTGGGAAGTAAACCCAAGTACACAATATTGCACTTTTGATTTGCGATTGTACGCTTATAATTTTGTTTACATGTTTTTTCATAACCAGCAATGTATATTATATGTCATGAATAAGTGATACTTGTGTTTTAATTATTTTTGATTTTTTGGTTGCATGTGACCTTTAAACAAATGTGAAGATACCTAAATCAACGAATTTATGTAAATATGTTTTGTATCTCTCTAATGTGTCAGTAGCTCTGCTGATGTAACACAAATTCCTGAAAAGGCATTAAAGTATTATTCTATTCTATTCTATTCTATTCTATTCTATTCTATTCTATTCTATTCTATTCTATTCTATTCTATTCTATCACAGCTCAGCTGGTAATGCACAGAACTATGTGGGTAGCTATGATGGTACCTGTCTAGATCTGCCTAACAACATCTCCAGCTGTCAAGGTAACAATGATACAATGATGCACAATCAACCAAGTCTCCAAGCATCCACTTGAACTACTTTAGTCACTTCTTCAGACAAGCAGTGAAGAGCTGAGAATCTATAACACAGATTCAGCAGCAGCTCATCGTGTTGAACAGCTGACTCACCTGAAACAGTATCGTTCGAGGAAGCCTCCTAGCGTTATATCGTTGTTACCGTAGAACTCCATCTTTACAACCCTGCAATGGACATATTGGCAGGTCATATAAAGATTTTGAATGTGACCTACATTGTGAGCAACTGAAACAGAATCACACTGAGAGGTTCAAACTCAGTAGTTCAAAACATAGCAAATCTCCACCAATTTTCACCTGTCAGTGTGACCAAACATTCCTGAAAAAAATGCTTATAAACATGGTAAATTACTCGTATCAGTATTTTCCACCATTCCTGAACTAGGCTGGAATTTCTGAGTTAATAATGAAATAATGAGTATATGCATCGTCTAATCAAAATCACATAACTAAGACATCCTGTGCAGATGACTGTCAATTGCAGGTTCTGCCAAGGATGAAATCTTCATAAATAGAGAAATCAGTGGACAAGTGGTAAAACCTACCATGGGTAGACACAAGGGTTGGGGTGATTGGCTGACTTATGAGAGTAGCTACTGAAGAGAACGGCCATCTTCTGGTGGTTAGCTGGGTCGAGACAGTCAATCTGTAACCACAGAAGGTACTAACAATATCAATCTCTAATAAACATAGGTTTAACCAAAGCTACTGACCTTTCCATGCAAGTAAACAGTAATTAGCTGGTTCAGTCATTAAGGTATGAGAAAAGCAAGATGGATCCAAAATTCTTCAACCAGCTTACAGCTTCCAACTGTGTCAAATGTTTTCACAGCTTACCTTCTTCTCCCAGAGAACTCCAGGTTTGTTTTTCTCATTTTCTGATTGTTCATCAAAGACTGCTTTACGCATCACATCTCTTTGTAAATCAACACGAGGATCAAGGGGAGGTAATACATTTATCCTTCCACCACGAGCTCGGAAATCAGCCAGTAGAGCCTGCAAATTAAAGTATATCTGTAACTGAAAGACCACCTCCGTGGTGTAGTGGTTAGAGCGTCCGCTCAGAGAGGGGAAGGTGGATGGTTCGATCCCCGACCGTGTCATACCAAAAGACGTTAAAATATGGTATTTGATGGTCCCTGCCTGGTGCTTGGCATTAATGGGTACAACAAGGACTGGTCGGCTCGGAGTCAGTATAATGTGTTTGTGTGGGGTATTCATGCTTCACTGTGGCATGGTATCTCAGTGGGCTAGCACGATAAAACCAGCTTTAGTCTGGGCTAGTACAAGCAGCCACCCATACACATACACACGCATGCATGTCGTCATATGAGCAAAATATTCTCAAGCACAACGTTAAACCCAGATTACATTCAGGATCAAGGAGTGAGTGAGTGAGTTTAGTTTACGCCGCACTCAGCAATATTCCAGCTAAATGGCAGCGGTCTGTAAATAATCGACTCTGGGCCGGACAATCCAGTGATCAACAGCATCAGCATCGATCTGCGCAATTGGAAACCGATGACATGTCTCAACCAAGTCAGCAGGCCTTACCACCCATTCCCGTTAGTCGCCTCTTACGACAAGCATGGGTTACTAAAGGCCATTATTCTAACCCGGACCTTCACAGGTTTCAGGATCAAGGAGATTATATATGTACATATTCATTATATAAATGAGTGTGACAGATGCAGTTATAAAAAATATAAAAGGTCTTCTTTACATCGAAAAGTCATATTTAATATAAAAACAGAAATCAGTATTTCACTCCTATGATAAATGTAAACCAATATTTTATGGGCCTTGGATGACGGAACTACTTTTGCCAATAGTTACCGCCCTCAGAAGTTGTCTCCCTTGGTTTGTCTGCTGACAACTGCCAGTGACACAGGGCAAGAACAGCTTGTATATCTAGCAGGCATTGTAAAGGCATTTGGCACATATGCCAGGAATATATGATGAGGTCAAACGCTTCCTTTCACTTTTATGCTACAAAACACTGACATCATGCTGTCTGTAGTGTTCTTATTTGACTTTCATTCAACAAACATCAAACTAAGCCAGCCATTGATCTTTGCCATGATTGCCGAGGTGTTGTTTAAATGTATTAATGAATGCCTCTGGGGCACCATAAAACAAAGCTTTGAACTTGTTATTCAAGTTTCTTGTTCTTCCAAAAACAGAACATCAGTGACAAATATTAAAAGTTAAAAACCTTACTCTGGCTCCCGACTAGACACCAACCTGTGTGGAGTTTTCATGTAATGGTGCTGTAAGCTGCTGCAAGATGAACGGATGAGCTTCGGTAATGTGAATGTTGGACTTGGGAGCATAGTGACTGGAGTAGTCGCTGTCATAATACTTCGACCTTGACCTTTGTCCTTGTTCACCTTCAAACAACTGTGACCAATAGATATCCTCTGGTAGGTATTTCCTCAATTCACACTTAGACCCATGTGCAGTTTCCAAATATGGAACTTTATATTTGTGATATGGTGATATTGACAAAACTAAACCTATCAAGGCTTTTTTAAACAGCCATTGTTTAGTCTGCTTGTGTTCCTGGAAGGACACTTTGCTGTCAAATATAGACTCATCTTTGCTGGTCTGATAACTGTGGAGTGGGTCACTCAAATCTGTCAACTCAGTCCTCTCCACTGACTGACGTTTACAGGAATCTTTACTCACACGCTTTGAATCAGAATCTTTTTCCGCTGAATGACCTTTCCTCAACACAACTTCCGAATTTTCTTCTTTTCCTTCATTCAACTTTACAGTTGATCTAGCACATTCACCAATGGCACAATTTTCTACATTTTTCCCCCCACGTTTTCCTTCCCCATCAATAATATGTTGATCTTGAGTTGGTTTGTCACCAGCCACTGACTGTGTGTTTTCCTCTTTGTCTTTCACCTTCTCTTGTGCAGTCTCCGTCTGCACTGGTTCTCGGATTGTTTGAGCAAGGTCAAAGTCATCCTGTGCCTGTATTTCGTCAGGGTTAGGTGGTGGAAGAGCAAATTCATCCATACAGTATGATATCTCCAGCAGAGAGTTGTAGGAGGTGTAGCTCATTATCTTCACGACCTCCTTCACCTGTAGCGGAATGAAGTAATCATGTACATGCATGAGTGAGTGAGTGAGTTTAGTTTTATGCCACACTCAGCAATATTCCAGCTATATGGCAGCGGTCTGTAAATAATCAAGTCTGGACCAGACAATCCAGTGATCAACAGCATCAGCATCGATCTACGCTATTTTGGGAACCGATGACATGTGTCAACCAAGTCAGCGAGCCTGACTGGGTTACTGAAGATCAATATTTTAACCCAGACCTTCACAGGTCGTACATGCATGTACAGTGCATAAAACACTTTATCAACACCAGAAGTATCATGGTTGTCGGCTCTAACTAAACCTAGAAACTACACTAATTTGGCTTTAAGAAAGGTTATAACAGTCGTTTAGCTTCTTATTCTAAGTTGCTCCAGCAAATTATTCAAATAAGAGTGAGTTACCTTCCTGAGTTCGTTTGTGGTGCCCCCTCTAAGACAGATGGTACAGCCCAGGTGTGTGGCACAGCCATCCATCACCACAACAGTCTTCAGGTCACCTGCAAATATGTCATGCTTAGACTGTTGCATAATGTATCAGAGACTTGAAGAAAACATCTGTGGTCATTTAACCAAAAGTGAAACCAGGGTGTTAAAGAAGACTATGTGAATGCTTCAGCAAACATTTCTCATCATATGTCAGTGAGTCAGTTACCATGGTTACTAGGTAAAATGATATAAACTATGATAGTAGCCATAGACATGAAAAAAGAGTTTTTATAAAATTACAGGCCAAATGAATGTAGCTTTCTCAAATGAGAGGTTTCAAATTCATTTTGATTTTCAAATTCAGACAGGTACTTTTTCTAATCCTCCACCAAAAATTGTAAGTTCATAAAATCTATAACCAAAAAGACCATGTCCACATCTGAAGTGTTTCCATTGTAAGAGTCGTGTGAAACTGTATGATATACCATTAGGCAGTAGATAGGGCTGGCACTTGAAGGAATGACAGAAGCCCAGCTTGGGACGGCTCACAAGTCCATCTATAGATGGCACAATGTCTGCCTGGGTGACCCGAGCCACTCTCTCCATCACAGACTGCAACACATCAACACAGGAGGGTAATATCCAAGATTATATAATTCTACACTGAATATCTAATAGAACCATGACTACAATCATTCTAGTTTTTATTATATGCTAAATTTGATTGATAGATGAAATGTGGGTGTCCCATGCTGACTTTAACAGAGTGCCACATTTTTATGTTGACATATTGGAGCTCATTGTCATGTTGGGTTCACTGTGCAGGGGTGGAATCAAAGACATACACAAGAAAGTTCACAAAAACAATGTTATTAAATACAAGATTTACTACTTCTCAGTGTTTACACCAGTTCATGCATGATGGTGTCTTTTGTCTTAGTAACTTGTCAAGTAATCTTCTGATTAGAAGTACAACACTGCTCATCCATAGAGTGAAGGTGCCCTGTAGAGTAACAGATATTGCACCGAAACACAGCACAAATCTGTTCAAAGGACCACCTCTCTCACAACACTTGAACCCATACAATTTGTCAGTGACCTGGCATATCTCATTTCGAATATGCTAATAATATTCTATTGAACTAAATGTTTCATGATTTACAAGTTTCCCATGTATCTAATTCTACTAACTATAAGAGTCCAAATCAGCCATAACATACCTATACCAATACTGACGTGAGGAACCGACCACAACCACGCTATCTACTAGATCTTCATGACAATGACACTTGATCATTAAATAAAGTAAGAATAAGGAATCTCCTGACTGAACGGTTTTGCCACCTACCTGTTTGACATTGAAGACCAAGGTGATGCCAACCTCCAGGAGGAATTCCTGCGCCAGTCTCGACACCGACTTCTCCACGATCAGCACACTGGGACGGAAAGCTGCAATCTTTGCAACACTGTTCTTCAGGAACTCCCTCTCCTACAAGTACCACACACAGCTGTAACACGTCAACACCCAGCATGGTACAAGTACCACACAGAGCTGTAACAAGTCAATACTCTGGATGGTACAAGTACCACACACAGCTGTAACAAGTCAACACCCAGCATGGTACAAGTACCACACACACTTGGAACAAGTCAACACCCAGAATGGTACAAGTACCACACGCAGCTGTAACAAGTCATCACTCTGAATGGAACAAGTACCACACACAGCTGTAACAAGTCATCACTCTGCATGGTACAAGTACCACACACAGCTGTAACAAGTCAACATCCAGTATGGTACAAGTACCACACACAGCTGTAACAAGTCATCACTCTGCATGGTACAAGTACCACACACAGCTGTAACAAGTCAACATCCAGTATGGTACAAGTACCACACACAGCTGTAACAAGTCAACATCCAGTATGGTACAAGTACCACACACAGCTGTAACAAGTCAACATCCAGTATGGTACAAGTACCACACACAGCTGTAACAAGTCACCACTGCATGGTACAAGTACCACACACAGCTGTAACGAGTCAACATCCAGTATGGTACAAGTACCACACACAGCTGTAACAAGTCAACACTGCATGGTACAAGTACCACACACAGCTGTAACGAGTCAACACTCTGCATAGTACAAGTACCACACACAGCTGTAACAAGTCAACATCCAGTATGGTACAAGTACCACACACAGCTGTAACAAATCATCACTCTGAATGGTACAAGTACCACACACAGCTGTAACAAGTCAACACTGCATGGTACAAGTACCACACACAGCTGTAACGAGTCAACACTCTGCATAGTACAAGTACCACACACAGCTGTAACAAGTCAACACCCTGCATGGTACAAGTACCACAAACAGCTGTAGCAAGTCTACACCAGCTGGGAGAACAACATGACAAAGAGTCTGACCTGCAGTATCTGAGGTTTTAGGGGTGACAACTTGTATATTTCTAATACGCCATACTACAAGTCAGCTGCTGGAGTCTGACCTGCAGTATCTGAGGTTTTAGGGGTGAACAACATGACAAAGAGTCTGACCTGCAGTATCTGAGGTTTTAGGGGTGACAACTTGTATATTTCTAATACTCCATACTACAAGTCAGCTGGCATACTACAAGACCTGCAGCTGGGTTTTAGGGGTGACAACTTGTATATTTCTAATACTCCATACTACAAGTCAGCTGGGAGAACAACATGACAAAGAGTCTGACCTGCAGTATCTGAGGTTTTAGGGGTGACAACTTGTATATTTCTAATACTCCATACTACAAGTCAGCTGGGAGAACAACATGACAAAGAGTCTGACCTGCAGTATCTGAGGTTTTAGGGGTGACAACTTGTATATTTCTAATACTCCATACTACAAGTCAGCTGGGAGAACAACATGACAAAGAGTCTGACCTGCAGTATCTGAGGTTCTAGGGGAGACAACTGGTATATTTCTAATACTCCATACTACAAGTCAGCTGGGAGAACAACATGACAAAGAGTCTGACCTGCAGTATCTGAGGTTTTAGGGGTGACAACTTGTATATTTCTAATACTCCATACTACAAGTCAGCTGGCAGAACAACATGACAAAGAGTCTGACCTGCAGTATCTGAGGTTTATATTTCTAATACTCCATACTACAAGTCAGCTGGCAGAACAACATGGGAACAACATGACAAAGAGTCTGACAATCTTGTGACAACTATTTCTAATACTCCATACTACAAGTCAGCTGGGAGAACAACATGACAAAGAGTCTGACCTGCAGTATCTGAGGTTTTAGGGGTGACAACTTGTATATTTCTAATACTCCATACTACAAGTCAGCTGGGAGAACAACATGACAAAGAGTCTGACCTGCAGTATCTGAGGTTTTAGGGGTGACAACTTGTATATTTCTAATACTCCATACTACAAGTCAGCTGGGAGAACAACATGACAAAGAGTCTGACCTGCAGTATCTGAGGTTCTAGGGGAGACAACTGGTATATTTCTAATACTAGTACTCCATACTACAAGCAGAGACCATATACTAGTAATAGAGGGACGGCCCTCTAGCCAGTGCGCAAAACCATCAGCGCTACGGCTTGTACTGCGCAGCCTATCCGGAAGCTGGCGAAAACGTGTGTTGACTTCAGTCATCGATTTCGCGTATTTTCATTGCAAAGGTAAGATTTGATTTTTTTCATGTATTCTCATGCATATACTTACATTTGCAACAGTGCATTAGAGGTGTATTAGGGGTGCTAAAGCATATATTTGTCTTTGTATTTGATGAATACTGTCATGTGTGCTCGTCGTTCTGTGAGAACAATGGCGGAGGTGTAAAATCGGCAAAAGTCCCGATTTTGATTTTCAATAACGGATACTAATTCTCAATGCAAATCCTTAGTTACCGGGTGTAATGAAAGAAAATAAGATAAAGATTTGTATAGGGGCATTTATAAGTCTGTGGCGTTCAAGGCCATTCCTTATTTTGGCTCGTGCAATGTGATGAAATATGATGTTTTCCTCAAATATTTTACTCCACAACACTTGATTTTCGCACGCTTTCACAAGAACAGCTTATTACTAGCATGTTTAAAATAAACATGTGAACATTCACGGCGATTTCCTCTTTTGCGTGGTACACTTTTTATATGGCTAAGATCGGTATTTTATTTTTATGATTTTTGGCGTAAACCCATATTTGCGTCCAGATACTGAACATTTCAATTATCATGTAGCAGACGACATAACATTCATTTTGTTCATTAATATAACGTGAATATATATTTAAATCATTCTACAAAAGTCTCATTCACCTAATCGTTTGAAAAAAGTACATATTTCCATTATTGTTCATTTTGATGATTATATTTTGGAAAAGGTCCTTATTTATCATGTAACAATTCATATATTTTTCTGTTATCATTATTCTTCCTACTGAAGTTAGAGTTATATTGCTATATATTATTATATTATTATACAGTACCAGCAGCCTGACTTTATGCAACAATGAATCAACATTTTATTTATATCATTACACTATTTATATAATAAATTATCATTTGTTTGGCAGATGCCCAGGAAAAGAAAGTTTTCATCGGCAGTCACTGGAAGGGCTACTCAAAGTGGGGTCCGAGACAACAAGGTGTCAGTTCTTCCTCTCTCTCTGACATTCTTATTCATCAGTTCAATCAACTGTTCTCGACGATTGCAGGTAAGTAATAATGGAAGTAAGAAATTCACAAATGATGTCTTTGAAAAAATGAGTAATTTTGTGTTGATATTTTGTAGTTATTGGTACTTGTATATCTGGTACCTGCAGAAATAAGTTTAAAATATCAAAGCAATTGTATAATCAAATATTAATATTGTTTCTTTTCTTATGTAAAAACAACGGTATAGTGTAAATTATTAAATACAATATTCCCATCTTGAGTAAGTAACTAGACCTTGTTTGAAAGAGCATTGGCAACCAACTATTGCATAATTTTAACAACTATTTAGAACACTTCAAATTTATTTTTTTAATATTAATATTGTGTAACTCCATTTTCAGTTCAAGAGATGCACTGTGGGACAAAGCATGGAAGTCATTCTTCATTGACCTCACCGATGAACCCACAGATACCCCATGCCTGGAAGAAGCGACAGATTCTGATGGTTGTTCGGCTGATGAATTCTTTGGGTTTATTTTACACAATTCACCAGTATCATCCGGACAACAATGTAGATGAATTTGTTAATGGCATCCTGCGATACCAGCAATATTTAACATTAAAAAAGGAGCTGTTTCAGCATGTAGATGAGCTTGGCAATTTTACAATTGCAAGAAACAAGCGTGAAAACATTACTATTGTGCAGTTTTATGACTGACGTAGGCTCAGTCCAGCTTTCAGTAGTCATCAAGCCATCCTTTACATCAGCAATATATGCACATCGACGTGACTTTGGCCCAAATCATGAATTCTGGATTGGTTTACCTGCATTTTTCTCCACTCTAAGAGTTATGAAGAAACTTTTATCAAAACTGTCTACATATCATGTTTGCGTTGGCAATTATGAAGACAGATTTGCAGACTTGATTCCAGTTGGTGCAGGCATAAGTGAAGGAGCTATTTCAACAATATCTGCCTAATAATTTAACATGTAATAAAGTACATGAGTAGAAATTATGGAAATTAAAATCCAATGTACAGTTCACTTCATGGATATCTAAAATATCTGTTAATGAAGTTATAATAAGATTGTGTTCAGATTTGTATGATTTTATGTTTTACATTCACAATCAGTCCTAAATGGACAACATTACTATGCAGGTTGTGTTGCAAGAAGTTTATAAGTTATCATCTTCCCTTATTTTATCATGACTACAATTAATATATTTTTCTGTTATCATTATTCTTCCTAATGAAGTTTGATTATGAGTTTACCTGGGCTTAGACAGTACCTACAGCCTGTCTTATGCAACAACAAAAATGAAAAATGAACTCATTATTCAACATTATATTTATACCATAAAATTATCATTTGTTTTGTAGATGCCCAGGAAAAAGAAAGTTTTCATCGGAAGGGCTACTCAAAGAGCCTACTATTAAGTACAATATTCCCATCTTGATTAAGTAGATATACCTTGTTTGAAAGAGCATTGGCAACCAACTATTGCATAATTTTAATTTCAAATTCAGTTTAGAGTTTATTTGCAACATTGAAATTCACATTTACTGTGTTTTTAATGAAAGAATATCTAAATGGTTGAATTTAGTAATACATGATTGTACATATAGATCTATGGTCCTATTCTACAATAAATACATTGTACATATAAGAACGTGTGATGTTGTGTTTTAATGTTATTGGTTGCATTTTCTTGCCAAGTTAAAGTTGACACTTTGCTGAAATTTTTTAATTGATAGGGTAATGTAGTACAGCCCATTTAACACATATATTTCATGGGCTCTCGAGGCAAGTGACTTTAGTATTTAGTGGCTTCCCTTTGAAAAAAAACAACAAGTGTCTCCATACGGCCCAAAGCATAATCACTGCTAGCCCCAAACTGGCATTATAAAAACATTAACGCTCTTGGAAAATGTGAAATCGTGTTTCGTTGGGACTATAAACTTTATAATAAACACCAGTCAGTCACAGGCCCTCGTGTCTTTCCGAGGATTCATGATTTTAATAATATTGTTTTTGAGATGACACCCCGACTCGAAATGCTTCACAGTACAATACATAATGACAAGGCCAGACACTTCTAGGGTGCACCCTACCCGACTGCGTTGCCGATCGCTACGCTACCATCGCATGCAATCGATTAAAACTTTATGTAAACATCGAGCAACACTCATGACACCTACCAATTCTTTATTGTTATTTCTGCAAGTCGATTGAAAACCAACTTTGACTCTCAACTAAACGATCTTGACACAAATGGATGACGATAGGTCCGCACACAAAAGGGGTGTGGTCGAAGCAAGTCCTCTGATTGGCTAACGCTTGCAAATCTGCACATTCTTTATAAATTCGCGGGAATTTTTACTTTCATCGACTGCTTGACCACACCCTCGTTTTGTGCCAACGAATACTTGCAAGTAAATCTTGAGATTAGCCATGTGATGATACGTTTAGCGAGCATTGGGGAAATTGGCAACTGTAATGTTAAAACTGCCTTTACCTGACTGGGTTAGTTTGATTTTTGTATTTTTGGTTTATATTCTCTGTCCTGTCGTAGTCTGTGAATTCTCCAAGTAAGTATCGAGGTCCAAGTCGGAATCATCCCAGTGAATGAATTAAGTCGTCCATGGCCATGCCGAATGTTGAAACAAATATTCCAGGCTTATGACGACACGCATTTCGCGAATGATACATGTTCTGCGAAGTTGTCAGTAGACATGTGCAAATGAGAGATAGGATAAAAATTAAGATTATTGTAATCAGTTTAATGGAGCTGTCCATGTAATGCTTAACTGTCAAACGCAGCCGGTGAAATCCCGCTAAGGGAATGAACTCTCGGCCCGGATATTACGCAATATTGTTTACGTGGTTACCAGAGTGCTCATTTGCGAATGTCTGCGCATTTGTTGCGCATGTGTACCGGTAGAGGGAAGTTAGCAGCAGGGTGTCGATGTGTATCAGTTACATGCCAGGCTGTAGCGCTGATGGTTAGTGATATACTGTTGGGGAGGGCCGTCCCTCTATTATATGGTCTCTGCTACAAGTCAGCTGGCAGAACAACATGACAAATAGTCTGACCTGCAGTATCTGAGGTTCCAGGGAGGAGAACTTGTTTTCCACTCTCTGGTACTCGATGGCTCCCTTCAGGAGGAGGATCTGGGGGTTTGGAATCTGCTGCTGCATCTTCTTGTGGGCGATGTTCTTGGTAAACACTACACCATGCAGCATGAACGTGTCCTGTTTAAGATCCCCAGGAATCTGAAGCAGAAATTTCTTGTAATGTGCATAAAGTTGTTTCTTGTGCACCATATTCACAAGTTCCTTGACCATTATACAGTGAGAGTTACATAAATATGATTAGTGAACAGCATTTAGAAGTGATACATATAAGAGGTGAGAATTTATAGATGTCAACTTCTTTATGACAAGGAACGCATTGTTTCAGAGTATATTCCTCATTCACCTGCTGAGAGAGTAAGAAAATACTCCTCATAATAAACCTTTTAAATGTGATCATGTATATCAGTGTGAAAAATAGGACAGAAAACCTAGAAATCTTCGGAGTCACTATGATGTATCAATACATCACTTGCAGGCCACACTTTAGTCTTCAGTAAAAATGTGAACAAACACGATACAACCTTCATCCTTGGCAACTTATATCCACAGAGGCTGAATTAGTTAGATGAGTCGTACATCTTCATCTATTATGAAAGACACATGGCAAATTTACTGAAAATGAAAGTAAGAAAACCTGTTACCACATAACAACATACAGCTCAGTGTTGACAATGGCAGAACCTGCTGTATGTGTTCTCACCTTCTTGATGTGGATGTACTTCCTTATGTCGGGGTCATCTCCCTCAGCCTGGACATCCGGGCGCACGAAGCGACTGACCTGGAGGATGATGTACGAGATGACCTGCTGCCAGCCCAGGGACAGTCCATGGTGACTAAGCAACTGCTTCAACAGAGCTTCCCACATCTCCGTGTGTGCCTTGCTGGATACAGACAGGACAGGGTTATCACATCAGCCCCATAAACACACAATACACCAGCCTGGTGATGTCAGGGTGAAGTCATCTACAGAAGTCTTGACTCTCACATTTTAGCAGATAACTCACATAGATTACTGCTGAGGTTAATCATGAGTTCTATGCTCAACTTCTTGGGCAGTATTCAACCCCAGCTACCTAAGATGTGCTATAAGGTTAACAGTCATCTCATCCTATTGGGTAGTACCGGTTGTACAAAGCCAGAATAACTTGTCTAAGGATTATATCACATCCTGACACAACACTTATCCCTGAGTTGAAAGCAAGGACTGAGATCTGCAGCATTAATAACCAGAGACAATTAGATTAGTCCTTGCTAACTGAACATCCCTTTCACTAGTCGCTGATAACTTGTCTCAACCAGATGCTAGCATTTAAAGTTCCCAGAATCCAGTTCCCAGTAGATATCTGATATATGAGACCTGGAGGATCAGGATCTCAAGTTGGTCGAAAAGCAACACATTGCACTAAACAATACCTCAGAATATTTACAAACAATGACAGAATGAGACACAAGAGAAATATCCGGCAAACACTGAGCAGTAGCACGTCATGTTCCAAATGCATGAGCATGAAAACACTGACAAGAGTTGGGGAGTCTCTGTATCAACAAGAGCTTAACAATTAGTCAAGATTGCTTATGACATCCTTACTCACCAAGAGTAACAGTACCAACCTGAGACGTTCATAAGCCAGTTTCTCTCCATTTTCTTCCCTGAGCTGGTCAGCGTTCCTCCATCCGTGGGGACAGGTGATAGTGTCAGCTGAGGCAGGGATGGACTTCCCCACAAACAGGGAACCTGGCACACACACAGACAGTTAGTGACAGGAACTCATATTGTCAATGCGGATGATGCAGGTCTAATTACGAGGAATACCACGTTATTTTAGAAGACCAATATAGATGAGAGGATGATGGGGTGCTACAGTCAGCAACAGGGTGTCCTTGGGTTACAGGCTGAATGGTTTGTACACATGACCCAAGTTCAATGACTTGTGTATGAAGAAATACATTTGTGTGTCATTTAAAGTAACACAACTGCTCAGTAAGATAGTCAGATTGTTCAAGAAGTATATACTGACTGACTGAGTTTGGTTTTACGCCGCTTTTAGCAATATTCAAGCAACATCATGGCAGGTCAAGAAGTATATAATATAATCAGTTTCTCATATATGCTAATAGGCAACCACATCAGCCATTACCCCCATCGCAATATTAAAGATCTCAAGATTAACCACATATCCAAGAGATCTTCCATTCCATGAGCTTTATGCCTTTTCCAGTACAAATTAGTCTGAAAGGACAGCAATCCCAGGTATCAATACTTCCAAGATACGCCAGGATGTCCTATTACAGGCATGATATCAACGTCTGTACTTCAGTTTCCACAGATACCTTTGAGAAAGTCATCTGACAGCCCAGTGCTTGGTAGAGGTTCATCTGACGACCCGTCTCGGGCCACGGCTGCTACTACAACAAACATGGAAGTGTGTCATGAAACATGCTGTAACAAATTGATTTCAGAATTTTCATGCTGACACAAAATCTTGTAAGTTTTAAAGTTATGAAGGACAACTTACATTTTGACAGGTCATTGGGCACACTACCGCTGTCTGAGCGTTCACTGACATAGAAGATGGCTCGAGAGCCAGACTCAGAAGAAATGCTTTTCCTCTGGTCAGAGTCAGTTGTGCTTGACCGCTGGTCCTCCCCCACGGATGCTGAAAAGAGGTGAACTATGATCATTAGGCTGTCTAAGGGCATATTTAGGCCAAACAGATATGGAAACAAATAGGTCAAAATAACATACAAAATGGAATATTTTCATCAATAATTGTAAAATCTAGGTCCACCTACAGTCATCCCTGTCTATGGACTCGATCTCCTTGAACCACAGCGGTTCACTGCTGGCAGCTGTCTCCCCGACAGTGGTCTGACTCTGGGCTTGGAGTGTGGAATCCACCAGGCCTGCATGTTCCCCTGGCTTGTACAGGCAGAAGTCATCCTGGAACACCAGCAGCTGACTGGATACAGGCTCCAGGTAGTTGGCAAACACCAGGGCTTGACCAATAGCCACTGCCTGGTCCCTGGAAGCAGCATGGCAGAGTTGCTGTCTTTACCAAACTTAATTGATCAATGTAAGAATCAAACATTACATTAAAAATATAGGAGTGTTGACTTTTATCCTGCCTTGCTTGGATATATTCCATTTCGCATATCTCACTTTAATAAACACAAAATAAAGTAAAAACACCAATATGTAAATTAAATCATGAATATTTTATTCTAGTGATCATGAAGAATGAGCTGAGTTCATGAAGGAATATGTTTCAATTCATTGAATACCAAAATGAATCATAACAGCCCAAATATACACCACAAACGCTTGAGTCAGTTGAGCAGTCTGCTTCCCTGTAACAAGTCAGGGCAGGGTCTGTGACCTCTGGACAATGGTCAAACTTGACGAATGTGTAATAGCATGGTATGAGAACCATGAGCCACCCCCATTCTGGACCTCAGTAACGGAAACTGACAGAATCTATGGTGTGGTGATGACATGCAGGCATACTGCTAGCTATTCTCATTTCCCAGCAGAGAGTGCATTCCAATAACATTGGATCTTTAGCAAAGTATCAATGGGTTCCTAAATTTCTGACTAAGGTAAAGAATGTCTTGAGATAATCAAGATCTGCCTGATGCTGATCCATAGAGGATTTCGCAACAATATGTGATCACACTTCCAGTCCAAACAACAAAGCAGCCCGAACAGTGGAAGCATCATCACCACCACCACCAAAGCAAACACTGGCCCACGAGAGGAAGGTCATTGTGCTACAGCAGAACTCTAACCATATCTCAGGGATCGAGAGAAAGGATGCAAAGATTGGCTATAACTACCTTTACAAAGTGGTAAACACAATCACCGCTAGGCTACACTAATACCTCTACGAGATGGAAGAAGATTACAAACCTGTTAGCAGCCTTGTCATTTGTGAGAAGCCAGTTGACAAGTTCTTTACCCACAATACATTTGTGATATGTCCGAAGACGAACTCGGTGACTCTGCATTTCTACACCACTCACAAGGTCGTTCATCTGTCGCCATAATTCACGTAACTGTATAGAGTCCTGGGAAAACATGGTAGCAGTCAGCAAACAAACATGTGCGTAATGTTCAAAACTAAATATTCTCATAGCGTCGATTCAACAAGATTAGAATACTGAATGAAATTTTGAAAAGTACTACTGCAGTTCACCCATGCCTGTAGTTTGCACCTGACCTGGATGAGTATCTTGCTCTCTCGCAGAAGGGATTCTTGTATGGAGAAGTCTGCCTGTGGAGTCAGGTCGAAGGGAACGTTCTTCTGTACACAAGCTGTCCCTGTATCCTGGGGGCTCACAGATCTACATAAAAACATGCATAGGAGTAATATTTCACAGAAGGCAACAAGAATAAACTTCAAAAACAGATATGGTCACTCATTCCAGAGACACCAGAACACACAGGCAATCATTATGGAGTACTAGAACACCAGGCAATCATTATGGAGTATTAGAACACCAGGCAATCATTATGGAGTACTAGAACACCAGGCACTCATTATGGAGTACTAGAACACCAGGCACTCATTATAGAGTACTAGAAATCCCAGATGCTCATTATGGAGTACTAGAACACCAGACGCTCATTATGAAGTACTAGAAAACCAGGCAAACATTATGGAGTACTAGAAAACCCACACACTCATTATAGAGTACTAGAACACCAGGCAAACATTATGGAGTACTAGAACACCAGGCAAACATTATGGAGTACTAGAAAACCCAGACGCTCATTATGAAGTACTAGAAAACCCAGACGCTCATTATAGACTACTAGAACACCAGGCACTCATTATGAAGTACTAGAACACAAGGCAATCATTATGTAGTACTAGAACACCAGGCAATCATTATAGAGTACTAGAAATCCCAGACGCTCATTATGGAGTACTAGAACACCAGGCAATCATTATAGAGTACTAAAACACCAGGCAATCATTATAGAGTACTAGAACACCAGGAAATCATTATAGAGTACTAGAACACCAGGCAAACATTATAGAGTACTAGAACACCCAGGCACTCATTATGGAGTACTAGAACACCAGGCAATCATTATAGAGTACTAGAAAACCAGGCAATCATTATAGAGTACTAGAAAACCCAAATGCTAATTATGGAGTACAAGAACACCAGGAACTCATTATGAAGTACTAAAACACCAGACGCTCATTATAGAGTACTAGAACACCAGACGCTCATTATAGAGTACTAGAACACCAGACGCTCATTATAGAGTACTAGAACACCAGACGCTCATTATAGAGTACTAGAACACCAGACGCTCATTATAGAGTACTAGAACACCAGACTCTCATTATAGAGTTCTAGAACACCAGACGCTCATTATGGAGTACTGGAATGCCAGGCAAACATTATGAAGTACTAGAACACCCAGGCACTCATTATGAAGTACTAAAACACCCAGGCAAACATAATGGAGTACTAGAACACCAGGCACTCATTATGGAGTACAAGAACACCCAGGCAAACATGATGCAGTACTAGAACACCAGACGCTCATTATAGAGTACTACAAAAGCCAGACGCTCATTATTAAGTACTAGAACACCAGGCAAACATTATGGAGTACTAGAACACCAGGCAAACATTATGGAGTACTAGAAAACCCAGACGCTCATTTTGAAGTACTAGAACACCAGGTAAACATTATGGAGTACTAGAAAACCCAGACGCTCATTATGAAGTACTAGAACACCAGACAAACATTATGGAGTACTAGAAAACTCAGATGCTCATTATGAAGTACTAGAAAACCAGGCAAACATTATGGAGTACTAGAAAACCCAGACACTCATTATAGAGTACTAGAACACCAGACGCTCATTATAGAGTACTAGAACACCAGACGCTCATTATAGAGTACTAGAACACCAGACGCTCATTATAGAGTACTAGAACACCAGACGCTCATTATAGAGTACTAGAACACCAGACGTTCATTATGGAGTACTAGAACACCAGGCAAACATTATGAAGTAATAGAACACCAGGAACTCATTATTAAGTACTAAAACACCCAGGCAAACATTATGGAGTACTAGAACACCAGGCACTCATTATGGAGTACAAGAACACCCAGGCAAACATTATGGAGTACTAGAACACCAGACGCTCAATATAGAGTACTAGAACACCAGACGCTCATTATAGAGTACTAGAACACCAGACACTCATTATAGAGTACTAGAAAAACCAGACGCTCATTATGAAGTACTAGAACACCAGGCAAACATTATGGAGTACTAGAACACCAGACGCTCATTATAGAGTACTAGAACACCAGACGCTCATTAAAGAGTACTAGAACACCAGACGCTCATTATAGAGTACTAGAAAACCCAGACGCTCATTATGAAGTACTAGAACACCAGGCAAACATTATGGAATACTAGAACACCAGGCAAACATTATGGAGTACTAGAAAACCCAGACGCTCATTATGAAGTACTAGAAAACCCAGACGCTCATTATAGAGTACTAGAACACCAGGCACTCATTATGAAGTACTAAAACACAAGGCAATCATTATGTAGTACTAGAACACCAGGCAATCATTATAGAGTACTAGAAAACCAGGCAATCATTATAGAGTACTAGAAATACCAGACGCTCATTATGGAGTACTAGAACACCAGGCAATCATTATAGAGTACTAAAACACCAGGCAATCATTATAGAGTACTAGAACACCAGGAAATCATTATAGAGTACTAGAACACCAGGCAAAAATTATAGAGTACTAGAACACCCAGGCACTCATTATGGAGTACTAGAACACCAGGCAATCATTATAGAGTACTAGAAAACCAGGCAATCATTATAGAGTACTAGAAAACCCAGATGCTAATTATGGAGCACAAGAACACCAGGAACTCATTATGAAGTACTAAAACACCAGACGCTCATTATAGAGTACTAGAACACCAGACGCTCATTATAGAGTACTAGAACACCAGACGCTCATTATAGAGTACTAGAACACCAGACGCTCATTATAGAGTACTAGAACACCAGACGCTCATTTTAGAGTACTAGAACACCAGACGCTCATTATGGAGTACTAGAACGTCAGGCAAACATTATGGAGTACTAGAACAACAGGCAAACATTATGGAGTACTAGAAAACCCAGACGCTCATTTTGAAGTACTAGAACACCAGGTAAACATTATGGAGTACTAGAAAACCCAGACGCTCATTATGAAGTACTAGAACACCAGACAAACATTATGGAGTACTAGAAAACCCAGACACTCATTATAGAGTACTAGAACACCAGGCAAACATTATAGAGTACTAGAACACCAGATGCTCATTATACAGTACTAGAACACCAGACGCTCATTATAGAGTACTAGAAATCCCAGACGCTCATTATAGAGTACTAGAAAACCCAGACGCTCATTATAGAGTACTAGAACACCAGGCAAACATTATGAAGTACTAGAACACACAGGCACTCATTATGGAGTACTAGAAAACCAGGCAATCATTATAGAGTACTAGAAAACCCAGACGCTCATTATAGAGTACTAGAACACCAGGCAATCATTATAGAGTACTAGAAAACCCAGACGCTCATTATAGAGTACTAGAACACCAGACGCTCATTATAGAGTACTAGAAAACCCAGACGCTCATTATAGAGTACTAGAACACCAGGCAATCATTATAGAGTACTAGAACACCAGGCAATCATTATAGAGTACTAGAAAACCAGGCAATCATTATAGAGTACTAGAAAACCCAGATGCTAATTATGGAGCACAAGAACACCAGGAACTCATTATGAAGTACTAAAACACCAGACGCTCATTATAGAGTACTAGAACACCAGACGCTCATTATAGAGTACTAGAACACCAGACACTCATTATAGAGTACTAGAACACCAGGCAAACATTATAGAGTACTAGAACACCAGACGCTCATTATAGAGTACTAGAACACCAGACGCTCATTATAGAGTACTCGAACACCAGACGCTCATTATAGAGTACTCGAACACCAGACGTTCATTATGGAGTACTAGAACACCAGGCAAACATTATGAAGTAATAGAACACCCAGGCACTCATTATGAAGTACTAAAACACCCAGGCAAACATTATGGAGTACTAGAACACCAGACGCTCATTATAGAATACTAGAACACCAGACGCTCATTATAGAGTACTAGAAAACCAGGCACTCAATAATGGAGTACAAGAACATCCAGGCAATCATTATGGAGTACTAAAACACCAAGACACTCATTATGAAGTACTAGAACACCACGTACTCATTCTGGAGTACTAGAACACCAGGTACTCATTCTGGAGTACTAGAACACCCAGACACTCATTATTATTATTATTATATGATATTTATGTAGCGCACATATCCAGGCAACTAGTGCTTGCTCAAGGTGCTGGTATATTTTACTTCGATCACTGGATGTCAATCTCAAGGGCATATCTTATTAATCTCAACTCCCTGGGGAGTATACAACTCTTGCAGCCACTAGGCGCAGTTATTGTGGCTTTCTCATCCTAACGAGGTACCCATTCACAGCTGGGTGGACTGGGACACACATAGTCACAGTACTTTGTCCAAGTTCACTGCACGTTGCTGTATCCGCAAGTAGGTGTTTGCACATATTCATGTGGCCACCATCTGGTCATATACCAACAGATTCGTGGGTATTTTTAAGAGCACAAGGTTGTGTACTGTACACTAAGGGTTGTTACAACACTGAAGGAGTCTGCACACAAAGTTGACCCCAAGGTTTTCACACCCGGTCACAGGTGGGCTCGATCCCGACACCACAACCTAGCCTGGCGCCCTAGCCAGCTCGCCCACCACGCCCCCAAAGAACACCAGGCACTCATTATGAAGTACTAGAACACCAGGCACTCATTATGGAGTACTAGAACACCAGGAACTCATTAACATGTGCCACGATGTATGATAACACACAGAACATGTGCCACATTGTATTATCACAAACAGAACATGTGCCATGCTGTATGATCACAAACAGAACATGTTCCATGTTGTATGATCACAAACAGAACATGTGCCACATTGTATTATCACAAACAGAACATGTGCCATGCTGTATGATCACACACAGAACATGTGCCTCACTGTATGATCACAAACAGTACATGTGCCACATTGTATTATCACAAACACAACATGTTCCATGTTGTATGATCACACACAGAACATGTGCCTCACTGTATGATCACAAACAGAACATGTGCCATGCTGTATGATCACAAACAGAACATGTTCCATGTTGTATGATCACAAACAGTACATGTGCCACATTGTATTATCACAAACAGAACATGTGCCATGCTGTATGATCACAAACAGTACATGTGCCACATTGTATTATCACAAACAGAACATGTGCCATGCTGTATGATCACAAACAGAACATGTGCCTCACTGTATGATCACAAACAGTACATGTGCCATGCTGTATGATCACAAACAGAACATGTGCCACATTGTATTATCACAAACAGAATGTGCCACATTGTATTATCACAAACAGAACATGTGCGATGCTGTATTATCACAAACAGAACATGTGCCATGCTGTATGATCACAAACAGAACATGTTCCATGCTGTATGATCACAAACAGAACATGTGCCAAATTGTATTATCACAAACAGAACATGTGCCACATTGTATTATCACAAACAGAACATGTTCCATGCTGTATGATCACAAACAGAACATGTGCCAAATTGTATTATCACAAACAGAACATGTGCCACATTGTATTATCACAAACAGAACATGTGCCCCACTGTATGATCACAAACAGAACATGTGCCAAATTGTATTATCACAAACAGAACATGTGCCTCACTGTATGATCACAAACAGTACATGTGCCTCACTGTATGATCACACACAGAACATGTGCCGTGCTGTATGATCACACACAGAACATGTGCCAAATTGTATTATCACAAACAGAACATGTGCCAAATTGTATTATCACAAACAGAACATGTGCCTCACTGTATGATCACACACAGAACATGTGCCATGCTGTATGATCACACACAGAACATGTGCCAAATTGTATTATCACAAACAGAACATGTGCCATGCTGTATGATCACACACAGAACATGTGCCTCACTGTATGATCACAAACAGTACATGTGCCATGCTGTATGATCACAAACAGAACATGTGCCACATTGTATTATCACAAACAGAATGTGCCACATTGTATTATCACAAACAGAACATGCGCCATGCTGTATGATCACACACAGAATGTGTGCCATGCTGTATGATCAAAAACAGAACATGTGCCACATTGTATGATCACAAACAGAATGTGCCACATTGTATTATCACAAACAGAACATGCGCCATGCTGTATGATCACAAACAGAACAAGTCCCACATTGTATTATCACAAAAAGAACATGTGCCATGCTGTATGATCACAAACAGAACATGTTCGATGTTGTATGATCACAAACAGAACATGTGCCACATTGTATTATCACACACAGAACATGTGCCATGCTGTCTCGTCACACACAGAATGTGCCACGATGTATAATCACAAACAGAACATGTGCCATGCTGTACGATCACGCACAGAACATGTGCCACATTGGATGATCACAAACAGTACATGTGCCATGCTGTATGATCACAAACAGAACATGTGCCATGCTGTATGATCACAAACAGAACATGTGCGATGCTGTATGATCACAAACAGAACATGTGCCACATTGTATTATCACAAACAGAACATGTGCCACATTGTTGAATCACAAACAGAACATGTGCCACGCTGTTGAATCACAAACAGAACATGTGTCCCGCTGTATGATCACAAACAGAACATGTGCCACATTGTATGATCACAAACAGAACGCGCCATGCTGTATGATCACAAACAGAACATGTGCCACGCTGTTCTATCACAAACAGTACATGTGCCACACTGTTGTATCACAAACAAAACATGTGCCATGCAGTATGATCACAAACAGAACATGTGCCACTTTGTATGACCACAAACAGAATGTGCCACATTGTATGATCACAAACAGAATGTGCCATACTGTATGATCACAAACAGAACATGTGCATACCCTGTCTGAGGACTGTCCTCCCTGATGCTGGAGATACGACGTAGGTTGGGACTCCAGATTCCAAGATCCTGGAAGCTACCCGACTCAAAGTCTATGGACAGGCTCCTCAAGTCTTCCCTTGACACCTTGACATCTCCACCTTGGTCAGATTGCTGGGCGTAGCGAAGAACCACCTTACAACAGTAGATGCAGACTCCGGATACCACCTGCAACACACACATCTCCTTACTGTAACCAGAACTGGGCTACACATAGATCATGGGTCCCAGATAAATCCCTCACTTTAATCAGGGTGCTGTTGTACAAAGCGACTTTAAAGCTAAGGTCATCGTAACTCGTATACATTAACATAGACTTACGACTGTAGTAGCGCGCTAAGGTGATCGTAACTCCTATACATTAACATAGACTTACGACAGTAGTAGCACTAAGGTTGTGCCAGGATAAGTACCCAACATGCAGCACACAGAAGGTGGTTCACCAAACATTATAATCCTGAACTAATGGGAAAAAGACCCTGAATTTCTTAAAATCTCTTGGTTCTGAATCTTCTCTATAGCAACACACCAGATTAACATTAACCTGTAGAGGTTTTCAATTCTTTGAAGAGAGTCGTCATTGGGGTACATATATGCATTTTCTGCGCTGAAAATGTCCTGTGACAGTTGTATCAATGTTTTAATCAAAATATTGTACAATAAATAAAATCTTTTTTTATCTATTATACAGCCCCCACCCTGTGGAGTTACCTCCCTGCTACGCATGCGCAGCCAACCAGGTAAGCACCTAGGACCGTATCATCATTCCTTCTGCTGAATACATCAGTGAACAGAATTGCGGGGAGGCGGGCGGCCCTACCCCAAGGACGACTCTCTTCAAAGAATTGAAAACCTTTACAGGTTTGTTTAATTCTTTTTTCATAGAGATCGTCCTTGGGATACATATATGCATAAACACAGACTCCCAAAGACCGGAGGCCAGGGAGGAGGGAATTCTGTCAAAGTACACATGAATAGCGATCGTTAAGAATAATGTAACAGACGCCACAATACTCACCTGTCACGTGTCCCGGAGCTTCTGCGAGAGGCATGATGGGAGGGTAACCGACAGGGAGGAAAAGTACTGAGAGTCGACCTCGTAGGTTAAGCATAGCAAGTTCGCACACAGTGCAAAAGTAAACAACCCCACCCACCTCATGGTCTATTAGAGAGCACTGTAGGGGGGAAAAACCAACTCACAACTGACCATAATCTCCGGAGAGAATCGAAAGGAGTTAGATCACACAACAGCGGACATATCAATACTGGAGAGTACAGAACGGCCAAAGCGCGCACGATCACGTGAATGTGTATCGAGCTGATAGTGCCTGATAAAAGTGCTAGGCCGGCTCCAAATAGCGGCAGAGCAGATCTCTTCAATGGGTAGTGCCGATGCAAAAGCTTTTGACTTGGCTACTGCCCTGACCTTCAACCCCTCAGGGGGAGGCTTGCCCTTAGCCTGATAAGCAGCACAAATGACCGAAACAAGCCAGCGAGACAGGGTCTGTTTGCTCGCCGGCACCCCAGCATTCCCGCCACCGTAACAGCAGAACAGATGGGTACCCGTACAGATCCCCTGTGTTCGTTTGATATAGACCTTGAGAGTCTTTCGGACATCCAACGGGTGAGTGCTCGTAGGAGAGGTCCCCGATGAGGAAGGCTGGGTAAGAGTAGGAAGTTCGATAGGAGCTGTCACATGGGAAGCGTGATCGACCTTCGGGCAGTAAGTATTCGGGAGGCGATCACAATTATGAGAAAAACCGACTGCAAAAGTCTTATAACTGTTCTGTTCAAGGACAAATAAAGACCATACATACAGGTTGGGGAGTCTCAGACATTATTCTCTTTATCGTAGAAGACAAGGTATTCAGCTTTGCACCTCGACACATCTGTACAGTGGAGTGACAGCAGAAGGAATGATGATACGGGCCTAGGGGCTTACCTGGTTGGCTGTGCATGCGTAGCAGGGAGGTAACTCCACGGGATGGGGGCCGTATAACAGATAAAAAAGAATTCATTTAATGTACAATATTTTTATTAAAACATTGATACAACTGTCACAGGACATTTTCAGCGCAGAAAATGCATATATGTACCCCAAGGACGATCTCTATGAAAAAGAATGATGTGTTGAGACAACCTGCCTTTGTATCCAATGATCTTCCCAGGAAGTTCCTGGTTACAACACTTGCTACAGAAGATCTGTCCGCAGATCCTGCAGTGATGGCGGCGGCGGAATGTGGTGAACTTGTCCCCGCAATCATAACACTCCTTACAGCTGCTGTCTGGCATCCAGTACTGCTTGAAGTCACTGTCTTTGTAAGTCTGTAGAGTCTGTTGGGGAGACAGGTTCATCAGTATCTCGTCAGCTGAGAACTCAACATATCACATATGAAGATACGATTGACTGAAAACAAGAGTCATCAGAAGATGACATATCCCCCCGGCCCCCACATCTTTGAAAGAACAAATCATCTGACAGTTACTTAAATTCCAGCTTGATTTTAGACTAAGTGCAAATCGTTTCCATGGAAATCATGTAAATAATAAATGACAAAAATCTGCAAATAGCAAAAGGCACCACTTCAAGATCTGCCTCACAGTTTTACTGAAAGATATTAGGAAGTTTTCCAGTTGTGCTCCGGAAACGAAACCCACCCCTTCCTTTTGAGACTAAGTGCGAATCATTTCCATGGAAACCGAGAAAATAATAAATCACAAATATCTGCAAATAGCAAAAGGCACCACTTTGGGATCTGCCTCACATATCTGCCAAGTTTTGCTGAAAGATATTGAGAAGTTTTCCAGTTGTGCTCCGGAAAAGAAGCCCACCCCTCCCTTTTGGGACTAAGTCTAAATCGCTTCATATCTATGAAATTTTTAGAGTAAAATTAATATTTTATACTTATCCTGACTCATGCTTATTGCTTGTCTTCTTCTTCTTGCAAAATGAACCTAGTGGAACATTCGTGTATCTCCCAATTGAAGTTCCCTTCAATAAAAATCACTCATTAGTACTCACCACGAGTTACCTCCCTTCCACAAGCCTAGTGGAACGAGGAAGCCACCTGAACCCATGTGCCTCACTCTCTCCCTTTTTGTTTTGAGCCCGACACTTTATTTTTCGAAGAAATCCAAAGTGTTTAGTGGGGAGGACGGAGGGAGCTTACCTCATGAGTCAGGATAAGTATAAAATATTAATTTTACTCTAAAAATTTCATATTTTTCCTTATCCTGACTCATGCTTATTGCTTGTAGAATCCGACGGAACAGGAGGTGGGATTATATATACTTTGGATTTTAATAATTAGTGATTTGAACTGAGATGATTGTAATAACCCTATGGGAACTTCATAAAGGCACTGAACTGAAGAATTCCTGCTGTTAACTTATCAGCTGCCATATAAAGGTTATTACAATTTAGTGAAGATAATAAAAGTATATACAACATTAAGGTAAGCTGAAGCCATTAATGTGATAGTATAAACTTCTGAGAGTTTATAGTGAATACTTTTATAATGAACCAAAGTATTAAGCTTACAATATGCATATATATAAGCTATAATAGTACTGTGCTTAAGATATAATATAACTTAAGCTGTATAATAGTAACCAACTACTTAGAGTTTGTTAACTAATACATGTTATGAATTGAACATATGACTGAGCTTAAGGATTGATAACTTAAGCTGAACATATATATAATAGCAGAACTCCTAGGAGTTGTAAGCATATATATAGTATGATATAGAACCATAGTACTGAGCTTAAGATAATAAATTAAACTTAAGCAAAAATATATAGATAGCATGTAGCTATTAGTACTGTTATCAGATAAGTATAAAATCTGTAAGATAGACTTATCTTCTCCGTGGAACTGTCAACTGTTGAGCGAGGACCATGGGACCGAAATGGTGGATACCTGAGACGTCCTTGGTGGTGATATCTCTCAGATAGTGGTTGGCAAACACCATATCGGATCTCAAAAAACATCCCTCCATAATGGTATTCAACGAGCAATTTCCATGTAGAGCGAGAGTTGAGGCTAGCGCTCTAATTTCGTGAGGATTAGAAGCTCTTGGAGGGTCGAGTCCTGCAGCCTTGTAGGCTCGTAGTATGACAGTTCTGATCCAAATAGAAATCGTAGTACGCGACACTTCTGTCTGCGAAGCGGTGGATATAGGGATAAACAATCTTTTGAATTTCCCTCTACTTTGCTTGGATCGTTGGAGATATATTTTCAGTGCACGTACAGGGCAAAGTGATAGGTCCATCGTATCATGCGGTCCAAGTATGGATGAGAGAGCTGGGACATGGAACAATCTGTCTGGTTGACCTGGCAGTTGATTTTTCGCTATAAAGTCCCAGCGAAGTCCCAGATGAGCGATGTTATGAGTATCATCAAAGCGTGTTCTCTCGTAATCCAAAGCGTGAATCTCAGACATCCTGGCGGCAGTAGCTAATGCTAACAGGAATAAGGTTTTGTGGGTCAGTGATTCAAACGAAGCAGATAACAATGGCTCATAAGCCTCACTTGTGAGGTGTTGGAGTACTATATTTAGATCCCAGGCTGGAGCTTAAAACTTCCGTTTCTGATCCTCCAATCGGAATGCTCGTAACAAAGCGAGTAACTCCGGTGTTTTAGTCAACTTGACGCCCGTTCTCATAGTTATGACAGAACTTATGGCTGCAAGATAAGTGGACAAGGTTGAGCCTTTTAGATTCTTAGTTTGACGTAGATAACATAAGAAATCTGCCACTTGAGGATGTGTAGCATATCTGGCTGAAAATCCTTTCTTAGCAGCATAATTGACAAAGCTGTGCCATTTGTCATCGTACAAGTTACGAGTTGAGTTACGTAGTGCAAGCGTGACCGCTTTAGCCGCTCTGGCAGAATAACCTCTCTTATTCAAACATGCCTTGATACAATCCACACGTGAAGTTGGTATGCTTCTGGTGTCTTGTGCACTTGTTTGGTGTGCGGATGTATCAATAGATTGGTGCGCAGTGGGAGCTGAAGTACTGGTTTTCCGATTCCTAGCATGAGATCTGGAAACCACGTTCCTCGCAGGCCAGTAAGGCGAGACCAAAATGAGATCGAGGCTCTTCGTTTGACTGATTTTCTGTAAGACTTGTGGGATTAACGCAGGAGGCGGGAAAGCGTACGCGTTGAGTCCCTCCCACGATATGCTTAGTGCGTCCGTTGCCCATGCTAGTGGGTCTGGCACTGGCGATACGAAGGTTGTCAGTTGTTTGTTGAATCGAGTGGCAAATAGGTCTATTAAGGGAGATCCTATTTCCATGATTATTTGATTGAATATCTCTGTGTGGAGCATCCATTCTGTCGCGACGGTTGGTGTGGCCGAGAGAGAGCGTCTGCTAAAACATTCTTTGCTCCTGTAATGTGGCAAGCTCTGACATGTATGTTTAGATTGTCGACTAAATCGAACAGTCTGAAACATCGAGTGAGTAGATTCAGTGATCTTGTTGAACCTTGTTTGTTCACATAAAACGCCACTGTTGAATTGTCTGTGTGAATCATCAACTGAGCGTTCTGTAGTAGGTTGCTCCAGTGACTTATGGCGTTTATGACTGCTTGCATCTCTAGCAGATTTATGTGACATTTGCTCTCTTGATTGCTCCATAGGCCTGACGCTGTCCTGCCGGCAAGGTGGGCTCCCCAACCTTTTAGTGACGCGTCTACGTAGAGATGTGTTTTCGATTCCGGCTCTACTAAGGAGACGCCTGCGCAAACATTCAATCTCTTGGTCCACCAGAGTAGATGTGGTTTGACGTAATCTGGTAGACTGAATGGTAGAGGGTCCTCGAGATGAGCATTGATGAGGACTTGTAATGGACGTAATTGAAGCCTGCCTCTGAGTGTCAAGTCTTGAGCTGATGTGAGTAGTCCCAATAGGCTCTGCCACTGTCGTAGTGGTAACGGAGAGAGTAGGGCTTGGGGAATCAGTTGTTGGATCTTGATCCATCTGTCCTCCGGGACTACTAAACGATTCTGAGCTGTAAGGAATCGTATACCTAGAAAATGCAGATCCTGCGTTGGTTCTAGGTCCGACTTGAGTAGATTTACTAACCAACCTAATTGAGTTAGTAACTTGATTATAAAGTTCAGCTGTAGTCTGAGACGCTGTGGATCTGGATCCACTTGTATACCGTCGTCTAGGTAAAATGCGCTCCGCAGACCTTGACGATGTAGGTATGAGACAATAGGCTTGGTTACTCTTGTGAATACCCAAGGGGCTGAAGTGATTCCGAAGGGAAGTACCTTCCATTGGTAATGTTTGCCGTCTAGGATAAATCTTAGATATTTCCTTGAGCTGGGATGAATGGGAATGTGTAGATATGCGTCTTGCAAATCTATGCTGGCCATGTAATCTAGTGGACGAATTAATTGCCGAAGTTGTGGTAAATGTATCATGCGAAACGTTGGTGGTTTGCATAGATATTCTCTGTTGAAGGTGCTCATGTTGTAAATGAGACGATACTTCTCCTTGGAATTCTTTTTCGGCACTAGGAAAACTGGGGAGTAGAAACCTGGTACGATGTTTCGTTGATCCAGAACTTCTAAGGCCTGTTTGTTTAGCAGAGACTGTACTGTTTCTCTTAACATAGGTAGTTGTGCCGGTTGAACGTTGAACCTTGGCGGGGTGACTGTTAACGGCGGCTTGGTCTTGAGTTGTATAAGATATCCGTGCTGTAGGATGTTGGATACATAAGGATCTTGTAGTATTCCCCAGTTTTCCCAGTGTAGTTGAAGACGTCCACCCACTTGAGAAGGTTGTACTGGAACGACTGGGGGTGGAAGACTCCAGTCGTTCCGAACCTGACTTTCATCGTTTAAATCCACGGGCACCTCTGGATGATCTGCCTCTAGCTGATCCTCCTCTAAATTTGCTGTATGGGCGATGAAAAGAATCCTTGGGATTATTAGCTGCAGCTAGTTTCTTGTCCCGTGCTCTCTGTAGCCCTGAGAACTTAGACTTGCCCGAGTATCTCTGTGCTGACTGTTTAAAGACGTTCGCTAAGGTATCCATGGAATCTTTAGATACTTCTTTGGAGACCTTGTTTATCTTGCCACCAAACAGTAAGGGCGATGACCATGGAGCTGTGTAAAGAGGCTCTGTGAATTGCTTATTCCAAGAGCAGGAGGCTAGTAATCCTTGCCGACGAGTCATGGTAGTAGTTTCAGTAAGCGCTGAAAGGTGCTCTGTAAGAAATTGGTGGTCTTTTTTCTGCATGAGTAGAGCTGAGTAGATCATTCTGTCTTCCTCGTCTGTAGAATTCTTGAACTTGGTGATGAGAGTCTCATTAATAGT